CGCTTCCTTGTGGTAACACACACACGCGAACGGTTCTACAATAATTCCAAAACCTGAAATACCGGATCCAGTGAAGGAATACACGGGAATTTCGCTGCACCAGGTACGCAAGTCAAGTCAACGAATCGGCTACATACCCTATGTGTTGTCTGGCTTGAGTGGCAATGAGTTTGCAGCACCCGCAAACTGGGTACGTGGTTCTGTGGACTTTGCACAGGTCCTTGTGACTTATGGAGTCGATTTTCCGATTGTTTCGGACTTGAAGACCACGGAGAGGCCGATAAAAACAACGATGGCAACTTGGTAGAATCAACCGTCAGTGCTTTTGGGTGCTGCTAATTTTGGTCACATCGTGCGTGGAGTTGGTCTATATTGTTTGCGCTGCTTGGCAAGCACGATCCAAATTTCGGGGGATTCCCGTATTTGAGGCGGCCGTCAGAGGTACCTGCATTACTGCCTTAAACATCGCCCCAGCTAAAGAAACCTCACATCACATGGCATCACAAGGTGATACTCACATCACCTGAAAATGGGGATAGGGTTCGTCCATCGGTCCTTTGGAATCTGTTGAGGGAGTTCTCTTGTCGAAAACGGGTAAAGGCGCATTGAGTGGATAGTGCAGGAAAAATGGCCAACCAAATGGCAGCCAAGCTAGGCCAAGGAGGGATACACAGTTCCTTCGGGGTGGCATTTACCCAGTTTATATAAGGGGAAGACTGGGGACACCTGGGGAAAACCAAGAGAACGGCCGCCCCTCTTTGAATACAATCAAAGCGATCACTTGCCAGCCCTGCCAAAAGTGACACTTACCATAAGGCACCCTGACAAAGGCCACGGCAAACAGGCTTCCCTATATATGGTCTGTCAAAAATCACCCAAGCAGCAAATCCAATCAACATTGGCCCAGCGTGTGATGATTAAAACACCCCAAAAGGCCTATAGCGTTTGCAGAGGGCCCTGGCAACCAGTTAAGCAGTTTGCAGTTAATTGAGCACGCCGGCTAAACGGCACACCAAGGATCAGGCCCCCAAGGCCTTCGGGATTAGCAACTGACAACTCCACATAACCGCCCTTGGAGGTCCATGAAAAGATGTGGTGGTTATACCCCCTGCGCAAAGCGCTTAGCTTTTGCTGCTTAGCGGAAACCATCACACATTCTAGTAAAGATCCAACCAAATCGTAGCTTAGCGTTCAGCTTATTCTAAAAATCTCAAGATCTAACCAAACTGGCCTCCCTGAGCAGAAGGCTGACCGGAAGGTACATATCAAAACACATGTATTGATTCTGGCTCCCAATATTCGCCAACCTTCCAACATATAGCTGACAGCTTCACCTAGTATGTTCTGAAGAGACCCCTCTACGGCAGCCTTCGGCCACCGGCGCCTGGATTGCTGCTTGGTGAGCAGCGAGCCATAGGCCTCCCGGTACAAGGCCACCGCTTCCTTGGCGTGGTAGGATTCCCAAGCCCAAGGCGGGAAGGAAGGAAGGAAGGAAGGAAGGAAGGAAGGAAGGAAGGAAGGAAGGCGACATGAAAAAACAGGGAACACACAAACAAGATGAACAAACAAACAACCAACCGATCAACCAAACAAGCAGGCAAACAAACCACACCAAATTAACAAACAAACAAACAAACAAACAACCAGAATCAGCAATCAAACAACTTTAAACAAACAATCAAAATCAAACAAACTCAAATCAACAACGCAAACACACACACAACACAACAAAACAAAGCAACCATGCAGGCAAACAAAGAAACCATGAAAAGACATACACAGACACATGAACGCACAGAGATCCAAAGCTCCAGACTACAAACACATGGTTCCCTTCTTTATCACGACGCCCGTGTTAGGCGAAAAGCACGGGCGGTTCTTCGCAGCTCTCACTGAAAATGAACAGAACCCCAAAACCAGAAGTTCGGCAGGGCTGCAAGAGGAATCGTAGACTAGTTTGGGGGCAATTGGTTGTCTCTAAACAGAGCGCAAGCCCCAAGGTTGGACAAGATGCAACTTGGCATGAGTTTGAGACAACAGAGAGAAAGAGACAGAGAGAGAGAGAGAGAGAATCAGACAGAAAAACGGTTAAACACGAAAGGACGAAGGACGAACAGCCATAACAACCAGAAAAAGACAGACAGAGCGAGAGTGAGAGAGACAAATAAAGAAATAAATAAAAAAGAAAGAAAGAAACAAATAAAGAGGGCAAGACAAACAAAGAAAAAACAAACACAACAAAACATAAATCAACATAACTAAATAAATGCTGTTTTTTCTATAAGAACGAGAGGAACAATTAAAAAAGGCAACAGAAAAAAGAAAGAACTACAAATTAACATGAACCAATAAAGAAAAACAACAGGAAAAAAGAAGGACTGACACAGCGTCGCGTGACACTCTGAGATTGGAATTTCGGACCTGAGCTCCCGGCATCCTCGCGACCCACCTGGTGGAGCGGCGAAGCCAAACATCCATAACTCGACATAAACAAACAGTCACAACAAAGTCCACTGAAGATAGTCATTTTGTTGCTAGCCCTAGATAGCCACAATGGCCGTAGCTAAACCAAGGTTTGGGCCAAGTTTCCGAAGCTGGCTGCTAGCACGAACAACCTCTGGTACTGCTAGGCGCCAAAACCAAACACGTTTTGGGATGGGACCGCGGGCCCCAACTCCGCAGTCTGCTTCCACTTGCACAAGCATCCTGAAACCGCCGGAGCCCATTGACAAAATTGACCGTGGATCTGAGCACATGGGTCCAAACCTCTGGAAAGGCCCCTCTGGAAATCCATAGGAGTGCCCACGATGTGGCGTCCTAGTTTGTCACAAGTCCTTGCACAAGGACAGGACCCAATATCAATATGCCCTTGTTTTGGCAATCGTACTCAGGTTAGTTGTGAGGCATAGGAATCCATGAAGGGTACCAGGTATACTTGCAGGTTGCCCGAAACTCACCAAACCATCGCAAGGCTGTTTCTGGGATGGGTCCTGAATTGGCAGCCATGATCAGTTAACACACTTATGTCAGGGGTACAAAATGGTATTGACTGCCCACTGTTTCCTTGTAGGGCTGCATACCTGGGGGTTCGATCCACAAAATGTAGCTTAAAAGGGGGCCATGGATCCACGAAAACCGTTGGATGCATCACCTACTTTGCTTCATTGGATATTGTGAAAGTTGGCCGCTGGATCTCGGGTGTTGTTTCCACCTTGGGACATCACAAGCAGTTTGGACAGACTTAGATCCCACGCAAACAATGCACCTTATGCTAGGGACAAAGGGCAAATGGCCAAAGTGCTATCTAAGTCTGGTACTGACCGTGACAATACCCTGTTTTGGACATCCAACTTGGAACAGCTCATCCAAATGCACAGCTTCGCCAGTGCGTTTGTCCTTCAAGCATTTGCCATAGCGGTCCGTGCACTCTTAGTCTTTTGCCATTCCTTCTGTGCGCGTGTGGAATATCTCAAGCGGGTTCCAAAGAAGGCATGCCGCAATACGTGTTCTGGCGCTCACGAGTCTCCTCAAGAGCGCCCCACTTTGCCTGACCCAAACCCGGCAAGTCGATGTTCCACGTGCCGGTGACAAACTAACAAGTCCGCCATGTGCTCCACACATGCCATGGGATGCTGGACCCGACGGGTGCTTCTTGGCTATACTGCTTTCTGTGCCTCGGCCGGACGGACAGGACCCCCACAGTTCGTTCATATCCGTACGCGCTGCAAATAACAAAGCATGAATAAGGAAGAGGATGTCAAGACACAAACGTTTTGCGGTTGGAAGAACCATGTCCTTCCAATAATCCTCCAGGATTTGCTCTTGGGACCTTCTTAAGGGCACTTCAGGGTTGCTGGAACATTTCTGGCGGGTTGGCGCCAAAATGTCTCGCCTTAGCGAAACTAGAGCCAGGCAAAACATGTTTTCCCTTCAAGGCAAATAATGTCCCAACACGCAAATAAAACACAGTTGCCCATGAACCAACCAAACGAAAGGGAAAACGGCGCCGCTACTCGGGGCAGTCTTGCAGGCAATGAACCTTTTCAGCCTTCAACTAGAAGTGAAGGCTTGGCTGACATCACCTTTGCTCGGGCCGAATTGATTCGAAACCGAATCGAAATCGCCCAGGAGAAGGGTTGCAACATTTGGAGACAAGCCCAGTTTCCTCGTTCTGAGCTACTCATCATATCCATCACGCTCTGGTGAAATCCCTTGGACTAAGGGAATCACTTAAAACATATTGAAAATCAAATACTGGCAACAAATGTATCTCTCTAAATCAATAAATCGCTTTGTCTTTTAGGAGGAAACCACCCGCGGGGTTCATCCGGGGGCATGGTGCTTCACCATCCTGGAGTAAACAAGGGAGCAGGAAAGAGAAGATTCCAGCATCCATGCCACCTAAGTAGACTTTGGGGACTTCATACTCCGCTTCCTACTACTTGCGCTTGGCAGCCAATCGAACCGGACTTCCCCAACTGCCTCGCACATGGCGGCAATTGCCGGCAGCATCATATCCGGGCCGATGAAGCCTGGATTCCGCTCCTTCCGGGGAGGTAGATATCAACCCCTCACTCAAGTCATAGGTATTCCCACAGTAAGAACAAGGCTCTTCACATATATTCTGACATAAGTCAGTAGCTTGAGTACTCCGAATGACATGTGTTCCATAAGACGAAGCGGGCCATCAACTACACACATATCCTGCCTCTGCGTTAAAAAGCCCTCGTCGCACTTTGTGCATGCAGTCCTTTGTTCATTGCATTCAGAACAATGCTCTGTGGGCATAGCCTCAATGTAGTTAGCAAGTGCTATTGATGTTGTTGTAGCCTGAGCCTGGCATCAATCCTCTTGCCGCTTCGGCGAAAACATTTAACGTGTGAAGAACCTTCCAGTGGATTGGCAGGACATCCTCTTGTTTATGACTAGAACTGTGCAGACCCAAAACGTAACTCAAGTTCGGAAACCCAGGGAATGCAACAGGTCCCCACACCCAGAATTTACCTCAAACCACATGAAAAACCTCCCGGCTCGGATCTCAAATTCTCCTGCACCTCCGCGTAGAGTCGCAGGACCTGGCAAAGAAATTGAGGAAATTGCGCACGGTTTGTGGTGCTTGGGGGGGTCTATGTTTTTCTTAAGAATGAAACAACCTGCCTCGAGTGAGTGAAATAATTGCCTTGTTGTGTTTGTGCTTGCTTTGTTTGCTGTGTGTGTGTGTTTGTTTGTTTGCTTTGTGTGTGGATGTGTGTGGTCTAAATGCTGTGCCCACTTTTCCTCTTTGGGTGCGTCTTTTGATTTCAGATCTTGTGTTTGCCTTTGATATGAAGCCTTTACTTGAACCTGCCTTTAGTGAAACTCGGGCCCCAAGTCCGGGCAGTATATAAACACTTGTTTCCGAGGGCCTTCTAAGGACAGACTTGAGAGGTTCAAACAGGGCCCAAGCATTTTGTAGCAAGGTACTTGGGGTTCGCAAAATGGTTGAAAAAGCAAGCGGCAAATGTAGATGACCCAAAAACCCAAAAAGTCAGGGACTAAGAACGGCAAACCGCTTATTTGTCGGTTTTAACAGGTAAACCTTCAAGCTTTTCCAAATTCAAGCGTGGAAGCTTGGGGGAACTGATGCCTGGGGAGACCAAATTTATCAAAGCGTAGGGTTAATTAATGTTAACCCCGGATTCATAAACCCCTGGTTGATTAATAGGGGGGTGTCCCCTTTTAGTGGGGATTCATCACTTGGGAGGGAACACCCCCCTAATAGTGGGACGGGTGTATTAATCCTGGGTCAACATTACCCTTCCCCATGCTTTTTCCGCTGGGCATCAGAACCATGTAATTATGCAGTCCATTGACTGGCGCGATGTCCCCTTGCATACATCGCCTCTTGTGGGGATCCGAACAACTCGTCTGAAAACCACAGACGCTGCGTGGCCGCCTCTGTGCTCTTGGATCGGGTCATAAACCCAGTAAACCCCATCTAAACGCATTCATAACTGAAGCTTTGCTTGAAACAGGCTTCACGCCAGCTACAAGCAAAGCGGAAGGTGGTCCTAGCCATTTGCCCTTTTTAGGAAGAAAGCCCTGAGACTTGACAACAAAAAACAACCAATCACCTCAGGTTGCAGCACTAGATCCTTTGTGAGAAAAATAAGCTTTACTGAACAACAGACCACACAAGCTCAACCCTTTGACATGGTTGCACAAAAGCCGCCCCAATGCCTTGAAAACGTGACTTGCCAAACGGGCCCGCTCGGACCCTTCGAGGCCTCCTCCCATTGCCGCGCCCTTGCGCAGGCAACAAGCACGGTGAGGTAGGCGATGCGGTCCTCGCTGATCGACACCGAGTGCGTTGCGAAAAAAAATAGTAATTGCCGGTTTCATCGGTGAATATATCTCATTGAACACCGAATAAGGTGATTGAACACCCGGAATTGCCATCCAAGAGAGTTTGCGACAGGAACATAATGGTTGAAAGCTGGCTTGCATGCAAAGGGCTCTGGAGGGCTTATGAAGGGCTGGGCGAGGCTTTCTCCAGGGATAGGCCCAAAACCAGCGGAACAAATTCAGCAAACAGGACTTTGGCCGGGCCAACAAAAACTGTACCCACTAGACCGCACGTTACAAAAGCAGAAAACCTTGGACCGTAACTGGGTCCTCTTGGTGTCCTTCCTTATAGGGGACTCTTGCTTCCCACGCAACGAGTCAACAAGAATTTTGAAGGGGCCCGGCCCCAAGAAGACAAACCCAGCTCGGCCGGGCAGGTTCGAGGATGTCCCGGTCAGGACATACTTTTCTTGGTAGGAATGGGGATGGGCCCCTACAAAACGGGGATTTAGACAACCAACATTGCCACGTCCTGTTCTGGTTCTGGAAGAATACCGGAGTTCACTATAGGACATCCTCAAAATTACCCCCTTAAAGGTGGTTTCAACAAGTTAACCTCCGCAAGGTTCTCAAAAGAGAACCCGCAAACCGCTGAATCAGTTCTGGGCCCAAGGCGTGGACAAAGTTGGCTTTTTGACTTGGCAACCTTTATCAGGTTAGTTTCACCCTTGCCATGCATTGGCTGAATGAGCCGTCATGGGGGCATGGCGATTGGTTGTTTCCGGGTTATCTGCTTGTGTGTGGGAAGTTGGGTTCAACCCCAACCTCAACTTGTCAACCCAAACCCAACTCCCCCAGCAGAAAGAACGCCGCAGCCCTTCGACCCTCGACCCTTCGGCCCTTCGGGTCGGTCCAGGTCGGTGCCGTCGCGGTCCATGGTCCCCAGCAGCTTCAGCGCCACATCCCACTTCCCCAGCTGCACGCAGGCCTGGCACAGCGAGTAGTCCAAAAGGCCCTGAGACCTGCTGGAAACAAATGGCTTTCCGAATTCAACCTACAATAGGTCATCGACCTTTTGAGGGCCATTTTGGAATTGGACAAGTCGTTCTTCCAAAGTCACCTGGGCTCCTTGAAAATTGCAAGACATACACATCCCATGTTGATCCTGGATAGAGGTGACCCGGGAGCGGAAAATCATATGGGATAAATTATCCGGCTGAACATGCTGCAAACAACGAAAAGCAAACTTGCTTGGATCAGAATAAATAGAGGATCTGAAAAAAATGGATCAGAGTCTGAGACCAAAACAAAACGGGTTCAGAGCAAACGGCCAAACAAAGTGTGGACAATAACAAATGCAAACCTTCCAAAGCAAACGGACCCCTCGAAATTAAGGAAACCACGTATGAATTGTGGCTTCCTCCTAAACCACCCCAGCCCAAAGGACCCCCACCACGGGGAACCTTGGGCGTTCCTCAATCGGGTACAGTGCAGAAGGAGAACCAAACATATTTGCCAAAACTGGATCATATACCCCCAACTCCCCCAAGCAAACATGTCCAGCGCCAAGCAAAATGCAAAACAACACACTCTACCCCCCGCCCCCGCCCCCCAAGGGAAAAACAAGTGCACCGAACAGTTGAGACGAGCTCCCTTTAAAACCAAAAACGCCAAGTGAAGAGAAGCTCAAGCAATTGGGGTGAGACACTGGTGGAATGGAGTGAGTAAATAACCATTACGCAAATATGGTAGGTACTTGGAGCCATATCGACCCGCTTAGGGATCACCGAGTAGAGGACCTCTCCCTCATGGGTGAGCTTGCTGGCTCGTAAAGTGAGCTTGCCAGGGTATTCACAAGCCCCTGGTTTCGATCAAGCAGATGGGGGGTGCAACCATTTAGTGATCGGCCAAGGGCCGCCCCTATGTGTTGCGAGACATGCTTTCTACATGTATACAGTATATACAACTCTGATTGGATATAGTTTAGGGCTATTCAAAAGCTGGAGCGACATGTCTAATCCTTCTCGGGTTCTCCCATAACTTGACCCATAACCCGCAACATCCCGCAACCCATTGTACTTTAACAAGCACATGGACTGGCCAAAAAGGTCCAAACCCTTCCTGTTCGCCACTAAACCGGTCTTCCCCAAAAGTCCAAAGTCCATGGACTCAGCGAGCGGGCCAATGAATTCTGATTTCCTCCGAATCCGTCGCCTTGAGCACGGCGTTGCAGGTCATGGAGTGGGGGTTGAGGTTCCGCCCGGCCATGGCAGTGGCCAGGGCCAGGATGCCACGCCACCGCCCGGCCTCCGAACCGCACGGGAGCGCATGGGACCCAACCCCTAAGACCTCACCACTAGAAAGCCAGGGGGAGACGGGAGGCTTGGACACGGGAAAAAGCCACGAGGGGCTGAACATGGTCCTCACATTAGGACAATCGCCTGTGTGAGGGAAACACGCTCTTTTCTGGGACTTTATTTTAATGGCGACGGATAGTGGAAGAAGCCCCAGATCTTTAGAGATTCTATTGCCCGGGCCTGCATGGAATGACCGCAAAATTGAGTGGCCGGGGGGGGGGGGGGGACCTGGCCACTTTCAGAGGATGATGTCCACCAGCCGTTGTTAGTTCGCCGTTGTTCGTGCGGTTTGGTTCATAGTCCAAGCTCCTGTGTGCCGCGCCATGGTCATGGACCCCTTTATCGGAATCCTTTGTTGGTTTCATTGGTTGTCCAAAGCCCCCTGAACATCAGCATGCTCAGTCAAGAGGTGTCTTGACCGTGCATGTGTGAACCCCTTGTGTCGCAAGGCGTTCGTAAGGCTCCCTTTTCGCGCAGCCCCAAGGTTCCCTCTCGTTTAACCAACTTGGGCCCACCTCACTACTCCTTGTGTATGAGCGGCTGGGGGCCGCAAAGTATCCTCAAGGCACATCACCTTCGCGTGACTGGTATGGTAATGAAAAAGTTCACTGCTAAGGTTCCCGGCGCCGTTGCACGCATTCTTTTTGAGATGCACTCAAATCGCAAGGCATTGAGATACTAAGATGTTTCCTGCTAATTACCTTTGATGGAGAATGGGGAGGTCAAATCCCAAGCCGCCCGCAATAAAACAAGCGCAAGCAGGGGCAAGGAGGCACCGGGGAGGCCAACTATCTCAAGCTTTACTGGTCATATAGCGTTTTCTTACATGCAACAGGAGGCTCGCTATCAGATTGTGAAGGGAACTTTCAGAAAACTCCCAGACGGGTAAGTCCTTACAAGCGCCTGGTCATGGTACCCGGAGTATATAAGAGGCTCGTAGGAGGGGCAACTGGGGGGGAAGGACCTCAATTGTCAAATTTCCAGAAAAATCGGGCCACATCGGGCCAGGTTTGGCTTAGGCTTCTCCAAACCCGCCTTCTCGCACACTGAAATGGCCTGATCGAAGTGCACCTACGTGGTGATTCGGTGAGTTGGCCGCCCTCACTCCCCCATGGCCAGGGTTCTAAGAAACCACATGCTTCTACAGAAAATGATTGGGTTGGTTGATGTTTGGCCAACTTCCCGTAAACAATCCTACTGTGGATGGACGAAATCCTCCACCACCTAAGAAGCCCTGGAATGATGATTCCCCTGTAAATACCCATGAAAAATGGTTTCTCATGGTTTCCAAGTGGTGCAGGATTTCGTCCATCCACAGCATGGCTGGTTTGTATGAGCGGTACTTGGCCCAGTGGCTTGGCTATAATTATGGCCACCCTTCGATCCGACACGGAGCCTGACTGGGAGGCTCCATGTTAGCGGACGGGAGGGAAGAAACAGATAAAACCCCAACCTTCCGGAGAGAGGGCGGGCACAATTTCCGTTAAACCCAGGGCTGTGGGGAATGACCACTTCTGTGATACAATAGCAAGGGCTTCCCAAAGACTGATTTGATCATAGAAATGGGGATTCCCTTGTATCACAGAAGTGGGGATAAGCCCCTTTATCACCCTGGTTAAACCGGTCTTCCCAAAAGGTAGAAGGTTAGGAAAGTCGGGATTTGGGTGACTGAAGCATCCGGTGTCTTGCCAAACCTCTTGATACCAAGCTAAACTTACAGTTCGGGACCCTTTACCAGTCATACGTCTCGATGGCTTACTTGCAGAACCAACAGGGGAACACAGTTGACCACCTATCACCCATGCCGCAGGCAAGTGAATAATGGCACTTGTGTAACAAAACAAGCAACCAAGTTGGAGAGGCGGCCTTGTTTCACCAAATTTATTCTTGGGAATAAAGAGCGTGACATCAACAGGCGGGGCATCCAACCTGTTGTGCGGAGGGGTAGTGATATTGGAAATTAATCCTGGTATGTGTGTGTCTTGTTTGAGGGCACTCTGTTCTTCTTGTTTTCAGACGTTTTGAGTGAAGGCAAAGGCAAATGGGGTTCTTCATAAAATAGTAGCCCCCAAAAACAGCCCATATCTTCCTGGGTGGGCAGAAGCTACTCACGCACCTTGGAGGGAACCAAGTGGCTACTGCAGCTATTGCAAAGTGGATAAATCAGTCGGCAGATTGCGCGACGTTCCCCCTTCAACTCTCTTGGATCGGCCGAGTCCAACAGAAAACGTTTGAACACAGCGGCTGTTCTGGGTTAACCCTAAATGGGCTCCAACAAATGGGTGCGCAAATGTTGACGTATCTGTCCTTGACACTACACCCCTTATAGAGTCCCCAACCGTATCCCGTGCGTAAACTTATAGCATGGTGGCTATCCTCCATTTGCATAACAATGGTGTTTGTTTTCCCTATTGCTGGAAACATGTCTATTATAATTATGTTCCAGGAGGCAAAAGTAAATGGTGGCTATAAGAAGTCCCTCGTTTCCAGTTTACAGTTTCCACCGGAATGGCAAGCCATATGTGCTGGCCGTTGACAGTCACCAAACACCCCATGTCTCGAGATTGGTAGCATGCAGCATGCCGCTTGGTTCGGACCACTGTTGAACTCAAGGGATCCTCATCGTGTTAGAATGAGCGGCTTCCAGCTTGCCCCAAAGGGTGATTCCTTCCATCCTCTGCAGGGATCCTCTTCAGAAAACGGATGAGAATCTAAGAAGGATCGCCGGCTTCTGCACAACCAGGGGTCAACAGAATAGGAATAAATTGTTGTGGCAAAAACTCAGGTGACATCAAGCAACGTCCTTGTCCAATAGAATATTCAGAATGTTCAGGTTCTGCTCTCCATCCTACTCACTCCTCACATCTCATTTGCCATGGCCTACTTTTGAGCCCCACTGCACCATCCTATTCGTGAATCGAACGTCGCATCTCCGGCCTGCGACAACTTCACACTGCTGTCATCCACCAGGCTCTGAAACACCTCCAGGCCCTGCGCGCGTGGTTGAGGCGAAGTAACAAGCACCCTGTGGAGCCCATCTTTACTTAGCTGGGCTAGGTGATGTTAAGGGGAAGCCCTGTTGGAGAGTAGAACAAAAGCAATGGAGCTATGCAAAAGGACCCTTCGTTCAGGGCTGGGGGCCTTTTTGGGATTTTGGGGAGGCCTCGTGCACCTGCAGCAGGATTGCGGGAGCGCACGGGTGGAATCCACTGAGCAACCGGGAAGCCCAAGCCCTACGCCTTGCCACTGACTTTTTTGTCCATGCAACCAAGGGAGTTTCCCAAATGGGCCCGGTGTCCTTTGGATTGCCATTGACTCCGACCTGCAAAGGCACCAACTCCACACATGACGGTCATGGTTTTTCTTTTTGAAGGTACACCTCTTCGGCAGCTTTTCAGGGAAGCTAAGAGTACAAGAAGCATGTGAGCCATGACCAAGGCTCCCTTTGTACGTCATGGTTCCTTAACGTGCGTGTCTGAGCATCTCAACCACGCTTTTGCAAAAGGACACTTTGACGATTGCCCAAATATGCCCATGGGAACCCCTCCAGCATGAAAAGACAAGAGGGTTTGTTTGGAAGACCATGCTCTTGAGCCCTTTGTCCACCTCTATGTTGGTTGAGAACTGTTGGCGTCCCGTGATTTCTCTCCAAACCAGCTTGAAAAGGTTAAACATCAAACGCCAAAGCAGCCTTGAACCAACCTGTCCTACTAATACGGGGCGTCCTCAATTTGATGATTCCCCACTAAAAGGGGACACCCCCTATTGATAACCAGGGGCTAAAAAAAACAAAACGAATTCCCATCTGCGTCATCCCGGATGCCTCGCCTTGTCCTGGTCTCTCTTCTGACCCTCCTCACCGAAGAGCGCCCGAAGCAGCGCGCAAAGGTGAGGCTCTTGAGGAGAGATGCCTCGATTGGCGAAGTGTTGCCCCGGCTCCGACTCACGAAAAGATACAAGGAAATGGTCAGAAGGCTAAACTGAGATAGAAGGAGTGAAAAGGTGAACGTACTAACAGCTACACGGTTCAAGAAAAATGGTTGGTCTTGAAAAGGCAGCAGAAATATGGTGACATAGTGGAAATGGTGGGTGAAGAGAGACATAGAATAACAATGATTTGTGAAAAGACCTTGCTCAAATTATCAGAACAGCTTTTTGCAAGTTGAGGAGAAAAAGGAAGAAACCCGAAGCGGTTGGTTGAGTCTGACAATTCGTCTTCTTTCTGTGCTTCCTGTCCAAACTCGGCCGTGCGAACGAAAGGAGCAACTCATAGGGCCCTTCTCAGGCCTGGGGCCCTTGAAAAGCATAGGCAGCTCCTTCAACGCAACCCCCAGATCCAATAAGCTCTTTCAAAAGCAGTTTGGCCGCTCTGTTCCAATAATTAAGCCAGGTACACACCACTGGGCCAACTGCACGTTGTATCTAAGTTTCTCCTTTTCCAGGAAATCAGAAAACAGGCTTTTTAGCAACGAAGCCTTTGCCCACTTTCTATCAAAGGTTCGCAAGGAAACTTCTTAAGGCTTCTGAGCACCTTTCCAGGGGTCGGGGGGCCCGATTTTGTCTCGCCGTACTTCTGATCATGATTTTAAGAACACGTCGCACCAAGCAATGTGTTGTTATGCTCTGACACTGTTCCATGTTTAGTCCGCCCCCCCCCAAAAAAAACAATATGTTTGGAGGAGACCCCAGATGTAGAGTAGAGCGTAATGCTGACCCAAATCCTCAATAAGGGGGAAATCCCCCTGAAAGAAAGGAATCCCCCCTAAAGAGGGACCCCTTTTGCAAAAAGGTGGGGCGGCCAAAATTTACCAGGGGTCGACATATTTGGATAACTCCAACACATTTAGAAAAACATGAAAACCATATTTTGAGAAGACGGTTGGAGGGGGTCGACATGCCCTCAAACGTTGGCCTGTTGGCCCCCCAAACCCAACTCAAACGACGCAAGGCACCGTTCTCGCGCATCTCAAAGTAGAGCTCCAGGCACCGCTGGTGGTGCGGTGAGTAGGACAAGCCTCGACGCCAGCGCGCCCAAGTTCTTGCAATAATTGGGACCCCCCAGAAATGGCATCGGTTTTCGGTTTGGTATCCCTAAAAACCAAATCTCAAAAGGGGATTCCTTGAAGCTTGTCCTTTTGGCTTTCTTAAACAAAATCCCACCTACACCCCATTGGTGATTGGTTTCAAATTGCCTGCGTTCCACCCTACTATCAATACCACTCTTTAGCATGCAACGTCAACACCACCAACGAAGAATACGTATTTACGGTGGAAAACCTGGTTCTTGCAAAAATATGAACAGTTCCACTAACCTAGATGTGTGTGTGTGTGTCTCAAAAATGGAGAAGTACATATGAGTACCCCGCAATGGATGCATGCTTGCTTCCTTGAAAACAATCCCAAAGCGGGTTGGTGAAAAAAGTACTTCACGGTTGATTCTAATGGCATATCATACCACTGCTCTCACCCACTTGTTTAGGGCATGGGGCCGATCCTGAACGGATTTACTATGGAAAACCAGACTCTGGTTCTGCTAACAGCAGTGCCCCACAAATCAGTGGAGTTTCCTTGTGGATTTCCTTTCAAACCGTAAAAAGGTACCCTCAAAAACACAAACATGTAGGCTGCACAGAAACCCCAATTAAACGATGTAGAAACACCTACGACAACGGCCAGCAGGAGTTTTCGGCACATTTCCGCACTGCTCACTTGGCCAAGCTGGGTGGCTAGCCTGGTGGCTTCTCACCCGCTAAGAACAGGGTGAAATCCTCGTAGGCGTCTACGTGATTTGCTAACTTGGCCGAGCACCCAGGGGTAGTCGTGGTTTGTCAAGGGATTTGCAAAAACTATCTCACATGAAAGAACGCCGACAAGTTGTCCACACCCCTCAAGGGAAAACATCATGTTGGCGTATGTGACCCCCAAACCACGGCCCAAGGGACGTTGGCATGTCATGTGGCGTGTCTTGCCGAAGGTTGAGCTGGAGCCCATCTCGAACCACAGCGGTTCATCAAAGTAGTTCTCGGCCGAGAGTGAAGGATCCAAACCCGGCCCCAATTTACCGTTTGTCTTGAAAATCAACTGGGTCCCCAGTAAGTGCTTAAAGGAACTCCTAAGGATCTAACCCGACTCACCACTTGTTTTTGGAAAATATGGGGAGCGATGTGCATCGAGGTGCCATGCATCACCGTCCGGTAGCTCGACTCGTTAAGCTTCACCTTGTCCTCCTGCCAAACCGTCGGGGGTGGGCCGCTCTCCCCTGCCCCGGCGAACGCAGAATTTTGCTCGGGGGCGGGTTCCTGTTGATTCCCTCTTAAACCGTCGACCCAAGCCCCCAAAAAACACACACAGAGAGCCATGCGCGGGTTTCCGCATTCACAGGAAAGTGCATCGTGTCTTTCAAACTCAATACGTCATCCATGAATAAGCGACTAAGGGGCATTGAACAACGGATGCACAATTCATGCGTCCTGAGCTCAAAGTAACCCCCCCGAAAGAAGCATTCTCGCGAGCTCAATGGGAGACTGATCCTATGGTTGCCAAGGCCCCCTACACAAAGGAAATCCCTCAACATCTCCTCAACATGGATTTCAAGCGTGAGTGTGCCTTTGTTTAGATGGAACCAAAAGGAACGCCTGCTCAGAAGGTTCCGTCTCCGATTTTGAGATAACTCGGCATGACCCGCTGCCAAGAAAAGAATGCAACTTGACCAAGACATGCAGAAATGAGTCAATGAGTCATCCCCCAAACGGTCCTTGGGCCATGCACAGGTATGATCAACCTCAAACCCAGCCATGAGCCCGTTGGTCACTAGACAGCTCGTGTTCACTGGACTCAGTCGCCCTTGCCCAGTCTTGTGCTAAACAACGAATTCAGACTTGTGTGACGATTCCCCCACCAACACGCAACAAGCTAGTCCTTGCATGCGAGAGGCTGTCTAGAATAACCCAGGGCTGTTGCTCGCACGGTGGATGTTGGGTTGTTTGCTGACTCATGTCGGTCCGAAAAGTAGAAAGTCAAGGTAAGTTCATGTTCAAACTGAAGGACTAAAAAAAACAAGACGCAGTGCATCTCCTTCATCTGGTCCAGCAGGTGAATGATGTTCTCCTGGGCATCATTGCCATTGTCCCCAGCCCAGTCCTTTTCGGAGAAATAGACAGGTCGCTTTGGGGCAGTCTTCGTTGTGCCAGCCCTGAAACAAACTCTCATCTATATCTCCCCTATTTAACTCTATTTCTACACCCAACCAGTGGAAAAAGACGGCGTTTGTCCCAAAAGCCGGGTTGCTCGCAAGTCCGCGAAGCGGTGGAAATTCATCCTGAGCCTGCTAGCTCGGTCGTCCCTGTGACGTCTAGCCCTCCAGACCGCGGTTACAAAAGGAGACTTCGTCTGTTTTTTTGCTCCGAAACCCTCCAGATCCTGGCACAGGGGTAGAAGGGCCCTAGGCGGAAACCAAACCAAACCAAATCAGCCGCGTCCTTATGCCTTTAAGCTGAGGCGGCAGGCGCTCAAGCCTGAGGCTCCGCGCCCATTGTTTCCGGCTCTTGCAGGCGCCCAGGGCAAAGTCGTAGGTATGCCTTGCGAGGGTCTGGCGAAGAGAAATGAATGCTCATCCCCTTTGGGTGTCCTGTTGGGAATAAAATTTCTGGGCCACTTAGCATCCAAATCAACAAAATCCCTGTGCAGTTTTTTGGTCAACCCAGCATCCTGCTTCTTGGTATCCTGCGAGCCTCAAAGCGGGGGGTGGAAAAGCAGGTCCATCAGCAATTTCAGGGGACAAGCAGGGTTGAAGTAGGGCTGCCTCCTCAGATTAGGGGGACACTGTATCTTAGTTGAAACCATTTGGTAAATCACCTCGCTCAAACCACTCCAATCACAAAGAGGCCCAGGCTTCGAACCGCTACCCAAACCACCACCCCCACAACCATTAGGGTTCCCAAGTCATCCCTGTAACATCAGTCCATCAACAAGAAGCTGACTGAAAACCGGTTGATCCCACCTACCTGGCGCCTAATGCGTCCAATGGCTTGTAAAAAGGCTTTTGGACTGGCACCCAAAAACAGTGCCTGACTCCCAAAAAGGCAAACACACAAGGCGTTCAATGTTTGGTATGTTGTCATGTTGCAGCGCCCACCTAGAAAGTAACGGAACTCCAAAGCAACAAAAGGAAAAAGAACCAGTGAAATCCTACCCAAGGGGTTCAGGCCAAGCCATGTCGATCCTGGGCATGCAACACAAAACGCTCATGCCAAGAGTAATGAAGACTTGGCGCTGCTGTGCCAGCCAAGCTGACAGCCATGGAAATTATCAGAGAGCAAAGCAAGCCGCTCGCTTCAGCGGATTGGCAGCCACAAGCATATCTCAGCAACGTGCCACGTTGCTGCAGAACTGCTTTTCGGGGTCCTTGGAAAATGAAACCGAAGGGACACCCACTTTGCGGGGTTCCCTTATTCTCATTCCTGCTGCTTTTCACTCCAGCAGGTTAGCACTATGACTCAATTGGCGGCCGGCGCGGCGGCTTCCTAAACAACGGGGCGTTCATCAGCAGAAACGCAGGGGGTAGCATTGTTCACTTCCTTGAGCCATTGGGGAAACTCACTTTCATTTGGCCACCGAAACGTGATGCTCCACAAAGAAAGCAAAAGGACGTCTAAACAAGCCACGGCTTTGCGCCGAGTTCTGTCCAGGGCGATGCCGTTCTTTGGCAGCGCACTGCTAAAAACGGCTGAACCGATTTGACAAGCCAACCAACAATCTTGCCGTTGACTACCCATTCTCTTCAGCCGTGCTTTCTTCTGGAATCGCGATGGGGATCCGTGAGTCCTTCGCACAAGATATCAAAGTCAAACAACCCCAAGAAGAATTACGACATGGGTACGCCTCTTTGTTGTGCTTCTAAAAGGAAGCCAGCGCTGCGTCCCAAAAAGACACTCAGTCCCACATGTGGGCGTGTGCGGTCGAGGCGCTGGTCGGGCGTGAGGCGCTCGGCGCGCAGAGCGTTCAGAAGCCGCAGCGCCTGGTCCGTGGACCTGCGGGTTTTCTCGCGGGGACGAAGCTCCTCCGTGGCAAGGAATATTTAAGGAGATGTTTGGTTGAGGTCTAGGGTTTTTCGGCTTTTTAGGGTGGTATAGGGTCGGCTTCTAGTCTTTGGGTCACAGGTCCTCATTGCGTTCTGGGGCCCATGCCCGTTCTTTCAGAAATCACAAGGCATCGATCCCTACTTGAGAGAGGGGTCGACGAAAGCTAGCAACCCGCGCACAGCTATATCCACCATAAAGGAACGGCAGCAGTCCGCCACGTGATAGCAGCCCGGACAAAGCCTCATTTTTTCTTGCGCGGGTTAAGGCGCCATGGAAGCCAGAATGGGTTGCTTAGTTTGGCGCTGTTCGGGTGCTTGTATTGCTGTTTCGGGCTGTTCTGGGTGCTTGGTGGCGTGCTCTTCCCGGAGCTTGGTGTCGTGCTGCTCTGTGCTGGCGCCTGCTTGGTTCCTGTGGCGCTGTTCCGGGTGCTTGTTGCGGTGTCGTGCTTGGTGTTGTGCTGTTTTGGGTGTTCCGGGTGCTTGGTGTAGTGCTGTTCCGGGTGCTTGGTATAGAGCTGTTGCGGGTGCCTGGTGGTAGTGCTGGTGCTTGGTGTCGTGCTTTTCCGGGCGCTTGGTAGTGCTGTTGCTCGTGCTGTCCCGGGTGTTTGGTGTAGTGCTGTTCCGCCTGGTGTAGGGCTGTTCCGGTGCTTGGTGTAGTGTCGGGTGTGGCCCTGCTGTGACTGGTGCAGTGCTGTCCGGACCTTGTCCGGTGCTGAAACGTCTTCGTGTAGATGCTCTTGTCCATCACCAGGCTCTTAGTGCTTACCGTTGGCCGACCGCATTGCCCAGGCGCGCCACTTGGAGATCATTTCATCTTGCTCCACTTCCTCACCTTCCATCTCAGCGACCGCTTCTTCATGCTTCTTCCGCCTCTGGCTTGCCAAGCACCCGTAACCGCAAACCCGCAGCACACTCTCAAACAGTGCCTGGTGTAGTGGCACTCAGGGTGCTTGGCCACACTACACCAAGCCCTGGAACTACACCACGTGCCCACAGCAAGCACCCAGAACAGCCTGACGCAGCGCTACACCAAACACAAGCACCTTGACCTGGAGCCACACACCAACCACCGGAACAGCACTGCACCGCAAAGAGCACTCACCAGGCACCTGGAACAGCACCTCACCAAGACACCAAGCACGCGGAACCGCGCTGCAAGGCACCCCGACACCAGGCACCCAGAACCGCACTACACGAAGCACCCAGAAAAGCACTGCGCCAAGTCCTGGGACAGCACGACACCGAGCACCCGGAACAGCACACCCGAAACACACCCGGAACAGCACTGCACCCGCAGCACTACACCACAAGACTACACCAGGCATCTGGAACCAGCAAGCACTTGGAACAGCACACCCGGAACAGCACCACCAAGCACCCGGAACAGCACGACACCAAGCACCTGAACAGCAACCCGGAACAGCATTAGAACAAGTACCCGGAACACCCAAAACAGCACAACACCACGCACCACACGCACCAAGCACCCGGAACAGCACCACACCAATAACCCAGAACAACAGCACGGATGCCAGGCAACTGGAACAGCACGGAGCCGCGCTGAAAGCTCCGGGAACAGCACTACACCAGGCACCCAAGCACAACACCAAGCCGGAACAGCACTGCACCAGGAACTGCACGACACCAAGCACCCTGAACAAGGCACACCACACCAAGCACCCGGAACAACACCACCCCGCACCCAGAACAGCACTACAGCACACCCAAGGCACCCAGAACAGCACTACAGCACAGCACTACGCCGCCACACCAGACGCACTGGAACCGCACTGGAACAGCACTACACCAAGCTGAGAGGACTACACCCCCACGGCACGCCCGGAAGAGCACGACACCCAGCACCCGGAACAGCACTAACACCAGGCACCCGAACTATTACTACGCCAAGCACCCCTACACAAGGCGGAACGCAGCACTACACCGAGCACGACACCGGGCGTAGTGCTGCTCCGGGTACTCAATGTAGTGTCCGGGTGCTTGGTGCGCTATTCCGCGTGTGCCTTGTGTAGCGCTGTTCCGGGCGGTTGGTGTAGCGATGGCGCAGCGCTGTTCCGGGTGCTTGGTGCAGCGCCGTTCCGGTGTTCCGGGTACTTGGTGTATGGGTGCTTGGTAGTGCTGCTCCCGCTTGTCCAGGTGCATGGCGTAGGGCCGTTCTGGCTCTTAGCACCCAGAACAGGAACAGCACTACACCAAGCAGCCGGAACAGCACGACACCAGGCACCTACACGAAGCGCCCGGCCAGGCACCTGGACAATGCCCATGCTGCGGTCGAAACTGACTCCAGAACTCCCCCGAGCCACCCCAAAACCTTATCTGGGCTGGGACCCCTTAGCTTTCAGCTGTTGGGGAAAAATCATGCGAGGATTCCTGGAGAAACCCACCGGTAATCTACCTAAGCACATATGTAAACGTATATAATCTCGGACCTGCTTGCAAGTGCGGCGCTTATTGTAGTGAGTGGTTCTCCAGGTTCAATGGTTTGTCTCAGTCGCTCAGAGGCTAAAGTTCTTAGTTGTAGGAATTCCAATTTTGCAAGCGGTTCCCAAATCATCAAATTTAAGACAAATTAGATACACAACACAAGCCCACAGGAGCCCCTGATCCGGTTTAATCTGACTGTTTCGGGGTATTCATCAGTGTCTCAGTCTTTTACTTTTAAAGGTTCACCCTGAGCTCTTCCTAGCTCGTGGAATCTGAGATCAAGTCTTGGCAATTCTAAAGTCCAACCCGCCAAAGTCCAACCCCGAGGTCCCTTTTCCTTGGTTGGCACTGTTCCAGGCTCAAAACGGGATGTGCGAGGACTTCTGACAAACTCTGGCCTGTTCTGCGCGTGAAATCTCAGGAGCTGGTTGTAGCACGACAGGTCCGGCTGTAGCTCCCGGTTCCTTCGGCCAGAAGCAATCGACCCCACCCCCCTGAAACAAACAAACCTTCCAAGGGGTGCTCCCCTGCAAGTTGATACGTGACCCAAAAGGCCGGGAATACCAAAAGGAGTTCCTCTTCAACCAAGAAGTTTCCTGGTTCCAAGCCAAAAATGGAGTACAGGGAAAAATGGAGTACAGGGATCTCCTTTGCTCCATGGAAAAAACGTTCTCAAACATTTGGGATAAGTCTAACATGCTGTTGAGCTTTTGCAAAAGTGAGGAAGGTAGGGGCTCAAGAAGCCTTGGTGCCAAATAAGGCCATAAGGTGCAGGGAATCTTTTGGGCATTGTAGGGTCGTAGGGATAATTATTGCGGGTATCCTCTTGGTCCCCTGACCATCTTTGCGAGATCAATCCGGTGGATGGAAGGATGTACACTATATATGGGTACCCATATACATACATATATATACGTATATGCTGTGACTAAATTCACTAAGATACTAAACTTGTGTTCTAGTACCCCGAAAACCACTTTCTGATTAGCTTGTTACCTCATTCTTCGAGGGCCACACTTGTCCTGCGATTGAAAAGACACCCCTGGCCATCTCACCATTCTATTTATTTGGCCCCTTGCATTGTGTACCAAAGGGGATACTAGTAGCAGGGTTGCCTATCCAGGCAAAACAATGCGGCTTCCTTGGAGACTAGGGCATCCCGCACCCATTTTTTCGGCCCGGAGAAGAAGCTTGTGTTGGAAGGTTGGCCGTGGCTAGTCTCAATCCCTGTTCATCCTTTAGGGCAAATGAGAACATGAAGTGACGGTGATGAAAAACCAAGGTCTGGAAGAGTTGTACTTAAAGATTTGGATACCGTCAAAACCGTGGACCCCGTAAACTTCACGTCCCCGTCAACCCTACATCCTTCAAAAGAAAGCCTGCAAAGTATCAAATGTAAACCTTGGTGCAGCCTTTATAAAACCATAGTCAGACTTGAGTGCCCTGGTATACAGTCTCAACTTGTGTTGTTTGCCACTAAAACGGTCTTCCCCAAAAGTATAAAGTCCAGGAACTCAGGGAGTGACTAAGGATGCCCTGAAAAGCACGATATGTTCCGTGCTACTGAATCAAACATTTTCAGAACTACTTTAGGGCTCCCCTCAGCCACTCGCAGGCAACATCCCTGGGCTGAGGCTCCATTGCGGGAAGATGTCCAGGCTTGACGGAGCGGACCAAAACTAGAAAGTGGCCGTGGGGGTGGCCCAAGCACCGAATCACAGGGTGGCAATCTCGTGGGTCCATCAGTCAGGGGATCCTCTTCGACCGGCCCAGCCCGCCAGCCCGCTCCTCATCTCACCCAAGAGGTCCAGGGCCTCCGCGTTCATGCCCAGGGCCTGCATGGAAGCGATCCGCTCCTCAGTTCTCGGTCCAATGGTTTGGAGCGCTCCGGGCTTGTTTTGCCCTTGGCCCATGGGGTTTAAATGGGTTCAACCACACCAATTCTGACATGCTGAGTTGGCCTGAGCAAAGCGGCCAAACAGTTGAAAGTCTACCCATTCGATGCCTAAACAAAAGGGGTCACAGGTCTCCAAAACGGCTTTCTCAGCTTACGCACCCCCCGAACCACACCAACCCAAGCAGCCAAGCAACCTGCCCAACCCAGCCACCCCAGCGCCGCAATCTACGAACCAAGCATTTGTGGCCCAACACCCCTCTGGGGAGCCCTGCGCCATAGGCTTCCGAGCAGGTAAGCTCGGACTCTAGGCACAAAGTTAGAACCTGCCGCAGAGTCGTCCTCTTCTTCAGGGCTCGGTGGCTTTGAAAAGGCAAGCCACTCAGTTTCCACCATTTTGAGACACACCCATAGCCAAAAAAACAAAGGAAGCACTGCTTCACAAGGATGGATCCTCCAGATCAGCTGGCAAAGGTGCTTGCTGAATACCCTTTTTCAAGGATTTGTTGATGTTCGCTACCGCTTTCAAGGCCCACTCCGGCGTTCCACCTGGCAAACCGGCCCATTTCGAGACACTTCTTGGGGCCCGGTCCTATTCCGGACACGGCCTCATTCTGTGGTTAGGAGCTGGTACCTTCTTGGCCACCTGCAAGGAATCCGGAAACACATGCGGTTGATGGACGAAACCCAGAACCAATTGAACGCATGAAACCCTGTACTGCTATACTATACCAACCACCTGCCAAGTGGTGCAGGAGTTTGTTCATCTACGGTAGTATCACCCGCGACTGCTATGGGTTTGGGGCGGCACTGCGAGTTGCTGGACAGTTCGGCACAGGTTCCGGGAAGATCTCGGTCCCAGTGCCCTTGAGATACTTCAATATAAGGGCTCCTTACCGCTTTGAGATCCCTTGAACCCGCACCAACAAAAAAGAGGCAAGCTTCATTCTGACAAAGGGACATAGAGGAGGTCCTGAAAAAGGCTCTGGTAACGACCTGCATTCAATGTAACATTTATTATGAAGCAGGGTTGTGGGATCAAGGGGTTTCTCCCCACTTCTGTGATACAAGGGAATCCCCCTTTATATGAACAAAATAGTCGTTGGGAAGCCCTTTCTGTTGTATCACAGAAGTGGTCATTCCCCACAGCCCTGTTATGAAGCAGTGGCCCCCTATGAGTAATAATTACAAGGCTTTTGTTGGTGGCACGCCCAAAATCCGATTTGCCTCCTCGTGCAAGCCAGCCAGGCGCAGGGCACGAAGGGCCTGCACTGTCGCGACCACGCACATTCGGGGATTGCTCCGAAATCCCGATTGGCACAAGGGTAGACAAACAGGGTTCCTACATTTTCTCTTGGAACATCGCTCAGCCAACAAAACATCAAAACCATGTGTAAGTGGCGCACAGCGGCATGTTCAAACCAACCCAAAGGGGAAATATGGGGAACCCTGACAAATGGCTCAGAGAATCCTGCCCTCCCAGGAAATTCCACAGAAAGATAGCCAGATACAACAAACTTGTGTTTTTCGGTTGGCTTCCTGTGGAACTTCCTGCAGCTTGCAACAAAATGTAGCTCCAGGAGTCTGAAAAGACACGTGCGAGGCTCCTTGCAAATGCCCGTGCGCTGGACCAAGCGATTCACACCAGACTTCGCAGCTTTGCCAAGCAAAAAAACGCTCTAAGCGCGCCGTGAAACTAGCTCATTTGTTGTTTCTCCAAATGGTGAAAAATAACCATCCCAGAAGTAAGTTTAATAAAGCGCGGCCACATTCAGGGGCCCAGCTTCAGCCTACGCGCATCATCGCGCATCAAACCGACTTCACGGGTCAGAGCGATGTTTTTTTCAGTCCGCTTGCAGCTGATCGTCACAGGCGTCGAGCGAGACTTCCGGGAATCGGAGCCGGAACTGCCATAGCGCACTCACGCAGGAGAGGCAGGGGCCTGACAAAGACAAGGCTGTTCCCCAACGGCGTTGGGCAGGCTGAAGCAAAGGCTTCTGCTTCAAATTCAGATTCTCAGATTGTTGCAAGCTTGTAGGGCAACCCTTAAGGAGGGAAACCGGAAGGAGTCTATGTCACCTTCGCCCCCCCCTCCTTGGGAAAGACTAAGTAGGTCAATACTCGAGACGTGCTTGGTGGTGGTGTGTTGGGGGCCGGGGGGGACAGGGTCCAAGGCGCATCCCTGCTAGGGCCTGTGATGCAATATTCATGGCTACCATTACCTTTTCAGCCTTTGAGCCCCCCCTCACCCCCCCTTTCATGGGCTAAGAAGAAATTCCCTCCTTAGGACAAACGGGTTTGCGTTGTGAGGGATCCCTTTGGCTTGCCTCTAAGACTACCCCAACAAGGGCACCCTCGTAGCAAGACACACCTTAATTCTCCTTAAGCCTTCCGGAAAATGAAAGTGCAAGCCTTTTCAACGCTCTTTTGTGTCATGTTCCCAGAAAGTTTGAGAAGATTCAAGCAAGAACTGGTCCAAATTACCCAATGCTTTATCCGGAGATCACCGCAAAAAGTTTTGCGATTTCCCGTGGGGACAGAATCCCAGGGCTAAAGCAAATGCCCTTATGCAAATAGGCTGAGATCCACTTTAAGCCACGCTTGAGGGGAACCAACGTGACAACGTGCTCAGACGGATTAATTGGTGAGACACGAGGGGGGTGCCACTGTGTGACCATGTTTCAAGGGAATATTGAGCCAGCAAACTCTGTGTTTAGGACACCCAAAGCAAACACAGAAGTAAACTAAAGCGTAATTTAGTATCCCAACAATATCTTCACACCCCGAAGAACAACACAACACACATGCAGCCTCGTCTGAGCTTTCATTTAAGACGCACCCAACTACATATATGGGTAGCCATGTGTTTGCGTCTGTGCATTTGCATCCCAGAGCATGTTGCACGCCTCGGAAGCCAATGAAAACAACAGTCTACCTCGAGTCTACCCCTCACTTGCTGAAAGGGCCTAGACAGAAACATGTTGGAACGTTGACTCAGCATGCTCCAACATGGAAGGTCAAAAGGTCATCCTGCGTTCTAGGTGTAAGCTTTCAACCTGTTAACTGTTCAGCGTGTGCTGCCAAAGGGCATACAAATGGGATTTCCCTAGCGCACTTGGCCGCTTCCTGGGTTCGCCCCGGGCTCCGACGAGGCGCTGATGCTGGTGAACACGGACACCACCCCCGCAGCCGACTCCCAAGGCGCCAGGAGCCGGCACAGCGCCTGCGAAGTTCCAACCCGGACTTGGATGGTTTGGCTACCCGTTTTCGGGGTGCTGTTGAAAGGGAAACCAAAAGGAAACCCGCCATTGGTTCAGTTTGACAACTGCATGATTTTGATAGGCTGGGGTGTCCAACTATTTCCGAGACTTTCTAAAATGAAGGGATCCTTTTAGCGGATGTGCAGATTCAGATCTAGCTCCTTTGCATTTCACCCCGCGTAGTCTAGGTAAGCCATTTTCCATGTTCTCTCCTACAAAACAAGTAATTGAATGGATCCACACGGGTCAGTACCACCCAGTAACTTTGGCCCGAAGAGGCGCCTTTAGCCCCTGGAACTCCGCGCACAGCTCTCGACGCACGTGCCGCGAGTTCGGCAGCTGCAGTGCAACAAGCGGCGCTTCGAATGAGGGCGCTTCGTCTGCCGTGTACCCGGACTCGTACCTTGGTGTCGAGCGATTTGGAAAAAAAGATACGTTTCTTTTTGGTCTCGCTGGAAAGCCAAGGAACAGCCATCAACGGCAGGCTGCGATCAACATGGCCCCTGCTTCAAGGGGAGGCGAGCTTCAGGTCCGCGAATTCCACACATTTACACAGCTCGAAGGGTGAACTTGGCAACCCTCTGTTGGGGTTGATCAGTGAGGAACCCAAACAAAAAGGAGCTCTGTTGGAACAGGAACAGCTTGGGATTTTGCAAAGCCAATGCATGTCTCGGACAATTACAAGTCAACCATTGGAAATCAGGAACTCTCACTGACCTTCATGGAGTTGAGCTTGTTGTCATTTGCCAAAATGGATTCTGAAACCCAACCTTGTTTAGGCAACACACTCCTTTTGATGGCATCACACAATTACACTTAAATCTGTGTTTGAAAGGGACACCACGCCCAACATTTTATCGAATTCCTCTCAAAATGAATTGCGAGATTCCCCGTCGATGTGATGCGCAGATAAACAGTGTTATTCTTGTGCTTGGAAAAACAAGACATCTGCTGGGTTGCCCCTTCAGTGGGTAATGGTCAGTTGCTTTTAATATCGAACCCAGAAAACCTTGTAGACTGGTGCATTCATTTAGGGGGAGGGGTGGGGGGTGGGGGCCCAGAAGCAATCCGCATCCCCTCCAAAATGGGAGGTGTCCCATCAATCAACCGGCGGTTGATTACCAGGGGCTCGTGCTTCTTCTGCCAAAGTGGGATGCAAATCATGACGACTTTATCGCTGGAAAGGGGATTCACTTAGTATCACAGAAAGTGCTCCAACACAAAGTCTTCCGCAAAGGTTCCCGTGCGCAAGCCAAGGCGCGCCAGCACCCCAGAGATCTCCTCCTGTCGCCTAACCTCGCCACGCTCCAGCGGCACCAGGACGTATTCCAGGTATGCGAAGACCCGGCTGTCCGAAGATCTAAACCCGAACCTGTGGCTTGGAAGAACCTTGCTTGCCCACCCAACCACAGATACAGACAAGAAACACAAACACATGCGCAACAGTAGCCAGCTCGCTTCAACATTGGTTCAACATGGGTTCTCACCCCCTTTGAAAATTGGTGAAAGCCCCCCCGGTTCGATATGGGTTGGAAAATAGCCCACTCCCCCAAAAAGGGCCCAGTTCTACCTCAGCCTTTGCTACCCAGCCATAAACCAACATGTTTGATTCTGGTCCACATGAAATAAGCCTTCAAATTGCCAAAGCGTGTGATCTGCTGAAGGAACGATTCCGCATTGGACCTAAAACGGACATCCCAGCAAAGCTTCCCCCCCCCCCCCAACTAAAAAGTATATGTTGCACAGGGGCTGGTGAAACTGTGGCCAACAGGAAGTTGATCAAACTATTCCTACTGCAACCCTCCCTCCCCCCCCAGACCGTGCCACGCCGGTCCGTCCGAAGCACCTGGCGCGCAAGGCCTCGCGCGCCCGCGCAGCAAAGGCGCCGCCCGAGGGACTCGGCACGCCGAGGCTCGACAGCAGCGGCCAAGTGAAGGACCGGAGGTTCAACACCTGGTGCTCCTGGCCCCGTCCGGAAAAGGCGACGAATTGGATTCCTGAAGCATGCGATCTTTGAGAATGAGTGGTCGAACTGCTTTTCGGCAAGTTCTGAATTAATCTGGCAGTCTTGCTTGAAATACTTTGCAGCACTGCTTGCAGTACTTGTAGCACGGCCTGTAGTACTGCCGTGCTGGGCACCCACTTTACTCTAGAAGTTGCGCCGCCAAGTACGCCTCAAACTCCCGACACGACGGCGATTTGCTCGGACGGGCGGCGAAAGGCGTCCCCGAAGCCTTGGAGAGGTTTGCCGCGGCCGACCACCCCACCAGCTAGTGACCGAGATGGTCTCATTCGGTCGTCAGAAGCTTGACAACACGTCTGCCGCGGTGGCAGCCAAGACCGTCTCGCTGAGCCAACTGTCTTGGCGACGTCGAACGCAGCAAGGCTCCCCTTCAGCTCCGACAGACTGGGGTCCTATTGCCTGTGCAAAAAGTTTACCTATTTGCTCCCGCATCGCTATGGATGGTGGAGATACTGGTCTAAGACGAGCGGTTTAACTACGTAGTTGTTGGTTTGTGGGACAATGCAACATTTGCCAACACATGATGAAAATTGCACCAAAAAACAGGGAACATCATGTCAATGTCCATCTTGTTGCGGGGCCAAAGCTGAACCACACATGAGTTGAACAGGATCCTTTTGGTTTCCCTCAAATGGGCGACCACACGGCCAAAATTGCCTCTCCTGTATGAGTTGCGCGTAGTCTTCAACGTCCCTCACCAGCGCGGCCCCCAAAGCCTCCACCAAACCCATCGCCGCCGTCGACATCGATGGATCTTTTGGCGCGAGGCCGAAAACGGTCATGGACCAATGGAGGTCCACACCTCGGCGAGCGTGGCGTTTCTACGGGAGTTGCGACTCAAGAAGTCTCAGTCCGGGAAAGTAGATGCAAGATTTCCCCCTTATTTTGGTTTCATCAGCCCCCCTTCCAACAGAAAGGGAATTGTACTATCGACTCTCCACTTGCAAAGGGCACACAACCTCCTTTCGGGTCCCTTTTTGATGTGCCCTTTGGGTCGGGCTCAAAAAAAGATAGCGCTTACGGGGCCCAGGGAACTAATTGGCTTCACAAATTGAATGCCCCCAGTGCCTAAAGTAGGGAGACCCCCAATGGCACTGGAGGTGCCTCTTGGCTTCTTCAAAAACGCCCACACCCGCACGCATTGCACCACCATGTCTTCCAGCAACTCCGCAACACGAACAGGAGGTCACCTTTTGGGTACCCTTGATGAAATACGTCTGCGCCAAAACATGGCTACGCAACAGATTCAGAAAAAGGGCCACCTTTGCCAAGGTGTCACTAAAGCAACTACATGTTAACTTGTCGTGGGCGTGTCCCTTTAGACACCGACAGATTTAGAAAACAAATACACCGCACAACGTGAGCAAGTAGAAGGTGAGAGACGTTTGGGCCGAATAGACTACACGGCAAAAAACTACTGTCTGATAAAGAAGTCAGTCTTAAACGGGACCCTCTGCCAAGAATCGCTGTAGATTGCCCAGGTCCAAAGTTTTCAAGAGTCTAATCTTTGTTTGGGCTCCACCCACATGCTAAACACAAACAACAAACAAAGGGCCCTGGGAACCATACGACTTTGACCGACCCTCATATGTCCCCTTCTGGCCCCTGTGTTGTTGTTCGCTGCCCAGGCGCAGCTCTGCATGCTGAGGCTTGGCAGCTCCAGTTCTGCAACAGCTCCCAACAGCGGCACCTGCCAAAATCCGAGCGTTCCATGTATGTAAGTTGCAATGTTTAGTTTTTGCCACAAGCGCAAAACCTCAAATCAAGGAACGTCTAGGTACAGGGCCTATGTCATGAGTGTCGCTCGCTTCGCCCCATGTGAGCTCGACGTTAAAGAGAAAAAAGAGGCAAACACGCGGACCGAGTTTCTTGTCCCCTGTTCTTGACCCAAATCCAGGAACATCAACACATGTGTTCTGATTCGGCTTCATGTCTTTCCCACCAAAGAAGCTGAGGCCCAGCGCCCATGACCTGACGATCAATCCGAGACATCCCATGGCTCATATGCTAAATTGCCAGCCTAAAGTGAAGGATCCCCCTGTTGACCCAGACCTCCTCCCGTGGATTTTGAATAAGCGAAAAAAAAAGGGGGTTACCCGTCGTTGGGCTGGTTCATTCTGAAGGGAACCCGGAAAAATAGCCAGGAAAGGCCTCAACGCATTCTGCATTTTGCAATAAAATTGAAAGCTGAAGTAACAATTAAATCCAAGATAAAGAACCCACATCCATCATGGGTGACATCGCTTGTTTACCCTCGGATCGTCGAGCTTGCTCGCGTCTTTGGACCAACTTGTGCCCAGATTGTCAAGCTCTGTTTCAAGCCCATATCCAGGTGACCTCGCCATGTCATGACATCAGCCCCGACTCACCTCCCCTCGCCTCCGCCTTGAGCCGCGCGAGCGCCCGCGCGCTGTTGGCCGGGTGCTGACCCTCGAGCTGTCGGCCCTGCAGGAACTTGAACACGGAATCGCCGGCTAAAGCCATCAGAGGCGCGCGGACGGTCACCAGCTGAGCAGACCTGCGGGGACGTTTCTTTCTGCACCCTTCCGTTACTTGGCTGCCTGCTTTTGGTTGTAAATGAAAAATGTAGCTATCAGCCTCCTACAATGTGTTCCAGATGGTTTGGGGTGGGTGCATACAGATGCCCAAGCAACGCCAAGCATCGTGCACCTCCAAGATCCATCAAGAAAGCGGCTTATTGTGACACTTCAAACCAACTCGCGCGATCGAAGCTAAAAGACCTACCACACCTACCACTTGAACTCAGTCCGGCAGGTGGTGTACAAATGTTTCGCATCACAAGCTCCACCTCCGCGCCAGGTTGGTCACGCCCTGCGGGTCCAGCTCCGTCGCTCCGGTCGCGAGGAAGTTGGCGGCCGAGTCGTCCATTGAGGCCTCCTCCAAGGGCTGGACAGTAGCCAAAGCTCGGCCAACGTTCCTGGATCTGCTTCCCCGAATTCCGAAGGCGCCCCCTTTGTTGGTATCAAAACCATAAGATCCAATCCCCCTGGCCTCCATGTGGTGGCCAATACGAAAAGCAATGGCAACAGGCCGAGTTCAACTACCAAACAAAAAACATGAAAAAGCACAGGGGATGGCCAACAATTAAACACAAGCGCTTTGAGGCTGTCAAGCTCTGGTCTCGACCTCCTGAGGTCGCTTCATATCAAACAAGAGTGGCCGGACTCCGACCTCCGACCTCCAAACAGTGAACTCACTGATGACAGAAAAGAGAAAACAAAGGTCCCCAGCGGCCAAAAGGCCAGGTGAGTGCCACCTGGCCATTTTCTTGGGTGCAATTTGGCTTTGGGGAAAGCTGACCCCTCAGTCTGTCATCGCGGAAAGAGAACCCCGGCGCACCAGCACAACTTACCCTCCCACCAAACTTGGAAGCACGAAGCAGCCCTTTCTCCAAGGAAGCGTCGTCTTCCAGTAGCGGGTTCTGCATATAAGCCAATTTCATGGTGGGAGGAGAGTGCCAGCCGAGGCTCGAAGTGTTCTGCGGTGCCGTGGTGGGAGTAAGACACCCCTTGGCCGCCGAGACCAGCGCTCCCGTCAGCCGCCTTCGACGCTTGCTCATGGTGGCCAGGGCCCGCATGCCTCGGCTGGCGCGTTGGTCAAGACAACTTCCTGGGGCTCACTTCAGGTGTGAAGGGCATATCCATGGAGCATGCAAGCGCTAAAACAAACCTGAGCCGGGGGGAAATATAAGATTCATGCCTACAAATCCCATGCCGATTGGAATACCAAATTAAATCAGAAGGTAGAGTCGGGTGAAAGGCGCAACGGGCCTGACCTTCATGCCCGGCAAGGACACACTTCAAGAAGGCCAAGTTGCCAAGCCACATGGATTTGGGGATGTGACAGAAATAAGGGGTCCAAACCAGAAGTCTGCTTCCTCTTGGTTTCCTTTCAAACCAAGGCGTAAACAAAAGCAAACAACTGTGTGCTTGCTTTTGGTTGCAAGTCCTTCGCAATCGTACAAGGTCCGACCCAACTGCCTACCAATTAGCAGTCAACCAGGCTTACTCGAAAAAGCTCCAAAGCTGGGACTGGCCCCTTTTCGGTAGCTTTTCAACCGGTCCCTCGAACAGTTGAAACATGTTGACACCCTTACAATCCAGGGCGCTGTTGGCGATGTTCTGTGGAAGGAGCTGGCCCAATGTGTCGAAGATGGCCTGGTTGCGCCGGTGATTGCACATGATGGGCTTCAGAGGGTTGAATTGTGCAAACGGGTTTGTCTCAAAATGAGGGAACCCTCATGGATGGTTTCCTTTTGGCGCCTTTTCAAAACCGACCAAAAGGGGCGTCTTTTCAAAAAAGCACACCCACACACAGGTTTAAACATTGCTTGCCAGCCCAGAAAATGCAAATTTCCCTGAGAAAACCGCAAGATACCCCTGTTGATGCTCCGGAAGGAGGGGGGCCCTGTAGCTTCCCGAGACACTATGTGCCCCTTCAAAACATGGCACCATAGACCAATTGAGTTTTAAACTTCTTTACCCCAAAGGGTTGGTACCGTTCCCCTCTAATATTGCTGGGGCACAGAAAGCCAAGAGAGAGAGAGAGAGAGAGAGAGAGAGAGCAAGAAGTGTTCCCCCTCTTGCAAGAGACAGCCTCAAGCTTCCAGCCCTGTGAGGTCCGCCAGCGGTCTGGGAAAAAAAAAGCAGCAGCCTTTCAAGCAGGAGCCTTCACCTTAACAACATTCATTGCTTCCAAAAGCAAAAAAGCTTCCAAAAAGAAGCTTCTAGCCGAAGCGTCTGATGCATGAAACATTCATAGATTTCCGCTTGGCATCTACCATGCTTCCCAGCTACTCTAGAACCCACCTCCCAGGTTGAAGACCTCTTTCTCCAGCCCCAAGAACATTGCCAGCAGTATCGGGCCCCAGTTCAAATTTCAGTACGTTTGCCGACGATGTTCCTTCTAAGCATTGCCGCTCTGTTTCTGAAAACCCCGCCAAAAACATGCAGAACACTACTTACCGTGTGCACTTCAAACACCACCACCCACCCAAAGGTCAACTCATAGCTTACCTTCCGCAAGGTTTCCTTCTTGAAGGCCCTCTACTTGTGCATGCGGTTGCAGTGCTGGCCACTGCTCACTGTCACTTGAGCCACAATGAAGACTCAGTCATAGTATTAAAATGGTCTTCCCAAAGCCATGCAAGGAATGAAAAAGGGCGGATCTCCGCACCTGTTTCCTGTTGGGACTGTTCTGTGCTGAACTTCACGTGGCTTTGACATTCGCCCTGGCTCAAGCCCCTGCCCCACCTGACTCAACGCCTCATCTGCTTCGCCGCCGGGCTCCAGGGTGGCAAGGGACCGCAAGAGGTTCGAGGTGTCCTGGGGGCGTTGGACTGACGCACTTCCAAAGCGGATTGGCCAACCATTTTTTCATGGCATTTGAAAGGCAACCCTGGTGCGTGCATCGGCCAAACAAAATTAAACTGTTGCTTGCCACAGCCATTGTCTTCCCCAAGGGTAACTCAAGTCCAGGCACTCAGGGAGCAAGACAAACAGCCGGTAGAAAATGGGATCTGAAGAGAGCGATGGTCGAAACTGGGGACTGAACCCGAGAAGTAACTTTCTCTCTCCGAAAGGGTCGGCAAAGAGACCGGGCTTGACACTACCATCGCGGCTCAAGGCAGAAACCTCGACTGCACAACTCCCAACTCACCTTCCGCCTGTGGAATGGGGCAGGCTGTTTTACCCTAAAAACTTGATCAAAGATGCCAACCTTTCGCAGTGCCTTGGTTGCCAGCACGGGAAATTTAGCAGGTCAGGAAAGATAAGCCCAGGATTAAACAAACCAATGCACAATATTCCCACCAGAACCAATCAGGACTGCCAAAAACCGATATCCTGAATTCCAGAACGTTGGCATGAACAGTTCCCTTACACATGTTTTGGGAAAATGTATTACTTTTCAGGAAATGAAAACATCTTGATGGTGAAGGCAGTTGGGGAAGGGGGTCGATCCTGTGAGAATCTGCGCGGTGCCCAGAATTTATTGACTCTGACTTTGGGCTCCACCAACACAACTACAAAACACAACTGCAAAGCTGCAAATCCCTGTGAATCCACCCCCAGACCCCCCATTGGAATTCCGAGGGAAAGAAGGGGACTCCTTTATGATGCTTATTCTTAAAGGGAACCTCTCGAACAAAAATGAAAAAGAGGTGGGGCTCTGAGCTCGGGGTTTTGGGCTCCTGACTCGGCTTTCGGCCCGTCCCGCCTGGGCGTCCAGCGATGTCGGTTTGAGGCGATGAAATTGGCGACGGGTGGCCTCCAAACACGTCTCGGGGCGCACGGCGCAGGCACTGAAGGCCCAGGCCAAGTTGGCCGGGCCCTGCGGCCCGAAATCCTCCACCTGGCTCACGCTGCTCGAAGCCCGACGAGCGCAGAAGGCGGGGAGACCTTTTGCACACCACTTTTTAGCCAAAAGGTCTAAGGGGTGATCCGGTCATATCAAAGACCAGCCATGCTTAGATTAATGTTTCTCAAAAATCGGCACCCTCAAATGATTGGTTTGCTTTCGCCTTCCCTTCCAAACGGTGCTTGCCAGCAATATGTAGGATTCCGTATAGGATACATTTTGACCAAACCACCTTTACAGTCGTTTCCATCAGTCTGCCTCGTGGTTTTCCCTTAAAGGACCCGGAAATACAGCCAACGTGTCCAGCATGCCTGTAGGTCGCCAAACCCTGGACACAGAGGAGTGCTGTGGGACGTGCTCGAGATACGAGCCTTGGCAAGTGCAGCATCAGCAGGCGCTTCCATCAGCGGCACATCCTGGAATGTGAGGCAGGACATCCTGAAAGGCAAGTACCCTCTCTCAGCTTTTGCCAACCAACAGTAGTATGTTTGATTCGGCGCCAGCAGTTGGTGCATCTCAGCATCTAGAATGATTTCGTCAAAACAGACCCCAGAATTCCTGGTACGCGCGCCCCCGCTAGAAAGGAACAGGATCAAACCAGCGAAACAAACCAAGCGGACAGCAAAGCCAGTCACTTGTGGGGTCTGTCATACTTGAAGTAATGTGACAGCTAACGCGCACCATGCTCCTGACAGAGGAGCTGAAGGATTTTCCAAGTGACAAACTGGAGCAAACACGCAGGGTTTGCCAGACTTGAGCTGTTAAAGAGGCATCGAAACAGGTTCGTACGGCGTGGATTGCCTAGCAACCCAAAGCGCAACCAACCAAGAAACATGAACAGGCTCCTCCCATGGTGCCCTTATCGGAAGCCCTTAATCAACATGGCCCCGTCAACATTACAACAATTGGGGAATGGGGATCTCTGTTTGGAAGCATGTAGGTTTGTAAACCCGGAAAAGCCCCCAATCTCAGGATCGATAGCCCGTCCAAGAAGAGGCGGCCAAGGGTCCAAGACAAAGACCCCCCCCACGTCCTGAGTGGATTGGCCAACTAAAAACATGACAGAACTTTCATGAACTTTCTGTTTGCCATTGATTCGACTGGCCCAACCCAAAAAGGAATCTTGACAAAGAGATCGGAGGAAATGTGTGCTTTCTGCAGAGAGCCATTGAACATGCTGGGGACTCGGGGCTCAACCCCATGGTTTGAACATGGGAGTGACTTCATCTGGACCCTCCCCTCCTCCAAAAGGAGGCAACATGCCTTCGCTTTCAACCAACCCCCAAACATTCTCTCGGTCCTGGAAGAAGGTCTTGCCGGGCCCTCGCGCCAGGTTGGCCGGCTCTTGCGGCTGCAGCGTACTTGGCGCTTGGCACACGGACCTCGCGAGACCAAAAAGGAACATGACAAAAGCCAAGAAAAGCCAGAATCAACACTTGGCATATGACGGTTTTCCGAGAATATCAAATGAAGCGGCGGAAGCTTCTACATTGATGGCTGGGACTCTCTCTTACTCACACCCGGGCTTACAAAAGCGTGGGGAATGTCCGATTGTGCCTTAGGGCCAGTGGTAGGGGCCAACTTGGTTTTTCGAACCCGAAGGACCCCCGCCCCCAAAATGGGCCTGGCGGCCGCCTCCATCAAGGGCCAGCGGATCGCCTTGGGCCATGGCCCGCCCCGAGCCATGCCGAAGGAATCCATTCTTGCCTGTAGGCAACCAAAAGAACCGGAACTCACCGTTAAACACCTGAAACTGGCTTACCGATATAGTGGAAACCGGGATCCACTGGGATGCTCAAAAAGCCACGTTTGCTTCTTAATTGTGGGTGGCTATTTGTACATATGTTGCACTTTGTTGCATTATGTTGCACAACCCAAGCTGGTCGAGCTGTTAACCTACCTCCCTCTGGCTAATTGCCGAATCACAACCCCCTGGCAGCTTCTTCAGGGCAACCCGAAACCCGTTGGAGGGGGGAGTCTGACCCTTGCCTGTGTGCTGCCGCAGGCCCACACCAAGTTGGCCACCTCCTGTCGGGTTCGCGGCGAACCAAAGCTTCCGGAGGGAGCAACGCTGGGCAGATCCGGGCAAGGACTCGGCTACACTTCTGACTTCTGACTTCTGACCTGCTGAGTTGGGTGTGCACCCAACTTCTCCTGGCCGAAGTCCTCCAGCCAACGGGCCAGCCTCAGCCGTGAGCTGGCGGCAACCCAGAAATCAATCTGGACATCCTACAATAGTTCAACCTGAAAAAAGGAATCCCATGGAATCCCCAAGTGAAGGACCTACATCCTGTTGAGCTCAATTTACCCCCAATGAGCTTGACTAGGGAGGTAGGAAACCAAAGCCCTCACTTATTGAAAAGCCGGTCACTCCACCCTGACTCGGAAATAGGTCCCGAACAAGATCGAATAAGGCCCCGCTAACAGCACTAAGTATTGCTCACAGATCATCGGATTTTCCAGGGTTCCCTTCTTCCCTTGCTCCGCAGTGCTGGCTGGCCCCTTCGTGCTTTGGCATCGCCGAGCTGCGCGCCGGCTTTCTCCGATTCGAGCAGCTCCCGGAAGGCGGCTTGCAGCTGGAGAGCGGCAAAGGCCCGCGACATGGCGGCGAAGTTTTGCAGGTTGCAGGGCTCAATGTCCTTGGCTGGTGCCAAGGAAAACCTCCTTGCTGGCTCGAGCTGGCACGTTCTGTGGTGAAAAATGACAACCAACTAGGGTCAACTTTGCAGGGTGATACTGTGGATGGACAAAGTCCAGGCACGACCTGGGATGGATGAAGCCTGAGAAAAATCGTGGGATAAACCTCCAACGGGTGCAGGTTGTTGCTATCCATCGCATAGCTTTGCCAACAAGGCATAGAGGAAATGTTCGGGGTTTTCCAGGTTGACAAACACAACCACACGCTCCCACAGCCAGGTCTTTAACGTTTAGGCGAACACCAACCGTTATCCAAACGTGAAGGCGACAAACCAGAAACAAAAAGGCTCCAGCTATGGCAAGCACTGTTTGCTCAACAGGAGCCCTGGTCAGAAGTCATGCTTGTTTCGAAATGCCGTGAGTACATGCAGAGGATACATGCATATAGATTTGCATCCAAACACATCATGGTTGGTGAGGCACATGCCATCACTCCAGACCATTGTGATGCTCAACAAGGCTTTGCTATTGAAAATTATACGCTGCATGTGGCAAGCGCGGCACATAGACAGCAAGATGTACAACCATAGCAGATTTGTGGGTTCGGCTCTGGGAAATGCCCGCAGCACATGGTTGCCGACTTCACGCATGTTCATCGCCAAAGCGACAGCACGACGTAATGACGCTTGCGAAAGAACTGAAGCGATTGAATCCCAAAAGGACGCATGGCTACAAACAAAGGTATGATGCAAATCAGTGTCAAACGAGTCAGTGATATTCCACTTGCCCCCAAGCGGACATTCTTTCCACGGATCCTCTGAGCACCGCTGTGCAACCAAGTGGAAGCGCCAGTTGCGTGACAATAACAGAGGCTGAATACGGATGGGAATCATGCCCTAAACACCATGTAGTTGGCCTGGGCATGAGAACCAAAAGTCAAGCACGTCAGCTATGTCCGGGCATCCCCCCCCACCCCGACCATTGGGAAAAATAACTCCAACAAAAGGCTGAAACAGGCCACTGGAGCTCTGCCAAGTGGCCATCCGTTCGCGGAAGCCGTCGCCCAAGGATCCTAGCGGAGCCCTGCCCAACGCAGCCAACTGCCCAAAGCTCCGCCCGACGTTGGCGGAGTTCTGCAGTGAAAGCGCCTTCGCGGGTGAGGAGGTTTCCAACCGAGAAGGAAACCGAAAAGGAAAAATCAGCCAGGACTTGCTGGATTTCCTCCCAACAAAAATGGAACCTGCTCAATTCCATTGTGATACTGCCAGTTTGGAAGGTCAAACAAAAAAGAATTGCGGGACCCCTGCCAAAGGAAACAAACATAAACCACGGAGACTGAGTCATGCGCATTTCTATGTGTTTCTTCACCCATTTCATCTTGGGGCCAACTTTTTGAAGAGAAGGATCCTTGAAGACAAAGGGAAAGGTACGGCAAGAACAGTCATCAGAATTGCATCCTACACTGTGTCTCAAACTTGAGCTCCCCGAAGCTCAAGTTTCCCCCTGATTGCCCTCTAAGTGCCCCTACCATCCAGGGCCCCTGGCTTGAGATGCGCGCGCTGCGGCGGTGCGAATCTCCTGCAACTATGCATACGGGCTGAGGGTGGCCCGAGACCCAGCGCCGGCTGTCGAGACAACAACAAAGGGCTGGAACTGGCTTTCTTGGTGTAAGAGAAGGCGGCCGCCGCCGAGCCTGCTGACCGGCCTGAGGCCACAATGGACGGGCCAATTGCGCGACAGGCGCTCGGTTCGCAAGTAGCGGCAGGCTATCGGTGGCAAGCCGCGTGTGCTCAGGGCGCTATGGGAGAAGAAGGCCGGGCCGCCCGCTCTGCGGCTGCTTGCTTTGCTAGCCCGAAGGGCTTTGTGTCCCAGCGTCCTTTCCGCCCTTAGAAGATCGGCACAAAATCCCAGACCACCCTTGGACAACCGATGGCTGCACCGTCGACGTGGCGGACAGGAAAACACGCGTAGCGGCCAAACGGACTACACGTGGTCGGACTCAGCTTCGCCTACGCGACCGCCTAGGCATTCTCAAAGCGAACAAGAACTTCAAATTTTCTCACATCCTGAGGCTTCCTCCTTCTCCTCCTCCTCCATGACTCCATGACCACAGTTGCAATTCCTCGTCGATGTTTGATGACTGAAGGCAGGTTTAATTTGGCACACTAGGCAAAGAAAGACGAGCGAAACGAGTTCGGCCAGCATGCACAGCCCAGGGAATGCTCACCTGCCAGATCCAGACAAGCAATCTCGAATGCAAGTGCTCCCAAATCACCAAACATCTCGCACAGGTAAAAGACAATGGTTAAAAATTGAACCCCTTGGACAAAAGAAGATTGCGATAATCTCATGGAAACTCTCGAGATGCTCGAGGATTTAGGAAACTCTTTTTGTGGGAGCCCTTTTGGGCTCGTGTGAATTTGCAGGGGAGCACTGCAGGGTAAAGCTATCAAGCCTGTTGCTTTTCAGAAGCCCTGCCTTCGATCGCGAATGACTCGCAGTGGAGGCGGCCTGCCTCGTGTGGCAAAGGTGGCAGGTTGAGAGATGACCGAAATGCCTTCTTCAAAATCAATCCTGATACCTGTGTGTCCGTGCGCGCTAGGAATGCGTTGGTGGACATCTGTAAATAAAAGTCGTCTCAAGCCCACTTGCGGGATGGAGTAGCAAGATACCATGGAGGAGATCAAAGTCTTCCGTCAACTTTCCCAACAAAAGGGAAAACGAGAACTCAACAACTGGAATTTCAGGCTTTTACCCCATGCCCCAATTCCATGTTTGAAGGGGTGGGGAATCCTCCAAAAAAAGAGAACTCCTAAGATTATGGTTGCTCCTTTACTTTCGCTGTTCCTAAACAAACGCACACACAAATGTGCTATGGTCAAAGGTCTTTTAAGTAGAAATGGTTAACCCCCAGACAGGGGGAATACAAATGCCTAAACAATTAAAATAGGCTGCTGCGCCGATTTGAACCAGATTCAGCAAACGATTGGCAATTGTGAGCAGAGGCACATGGACTTTGGCGGGTCCGATTCCTACTTTGCGACCAACTAAATTTGGTTTGGCAAAAGCGACATACCCCACATGCCGAGAGGCATCACCGGCCCATGGAAGGCTAACAACGTGGCAAAGCTCCGGACCGCATTGCCGGTGTCCTGGGCGAAAACATCCGCAAACGGGAATGCTGAGAAACGCTGCAAAATGACAGCTTACCCTCCCGCTAACATGGAAGCCACTGTAGGAGGTCCCTTTAAACAAAAAAAATGGTCTTGCAGGGGCCTCCATTCCAAGTTAGGGTAGCGCTCCTTTCTTGGCCTACATGCAAGCTCCTGGACGGACCGACCAGATTTCTGTGCACGGTTTCCACTTCGACCATCCAAATCCCGAAGTTTGACAAGGAATCCTCACCAAAAACATAATCACCAGGATGGCCAAGCCTGTTTGAGTATGCTTAAACACCTATTGTTGCAACATCCGCCTTTTGGATCCTGTGCGCGACCATCGCGGCATGTCCTGAGGCCCGCATTCCTTCACCACGCAGACAAAGCGGGCGCCTGGTGATGCCAGCGCGGGAGCGCCAGGCACCTGAGTTGGGAGAGGCGGCAGGCGCCAGGGCGGCTTCTGTTTGGGCTTCATCTGACCATGCGTCATTCGAATGACTTGACAAGTTAAAGGCCATTCCCTTGGCAGCATGGAAAAAAACGGGTTGGACTGGCCAACAAGAGCTGGGAGTACCACACCAGTGGAGACATCAAACTTGGTGACTCCCAGCTCTTGTTGGCCTTGTTTTGGTGTCGTAAATTGCCAGGAGCACTATTCTTTTAAAGGAGCACGTGGCAATGCTTCAGTGCCAAGTAATCACAGCCCAAGCCACCAACAAGGCAGAAACATTATCACACCAAAACAAGCAGCCCAGACACATTGGTGGAGACATTGTGACACCAAAAAAAGTTCAACCCAAACCAGCCCAAACACACCAGTGGAGACATTGTGACACCAAGACAAGAGCTGGGAGTTACTTCAACCCAAGGCAGCCAGCCGTGGCCCCCAAACACACCGAGGGAGACATGTGCCACCAAAGCAAGGCCGGCAAGAGCTGGGAGTCACCAGGTTTCAATATCCAACCCAAGGCAGCCAACCGTGGCCAAAACCAGCCCAGACACACCAGTGGAGACAATTGTGACACCAAAGCAAGGCCAACAAGAGCTGACGCAAATCTCCATTTCCAACACTCATGCTCCTGGTTAAACACTTTCAAGCCACTGTTGTTTGAACACTTTTGGGGATTCCGTTTAACGGGATCAGGGTTGCAAAACTCATATGAGGCTAGAAGCAAAACGGTTCCACGCTAAATGAACCGTCTTCGGGTGCATTCCCGGCGCACGCAGAAGAGCCTTTACTAACCCTCATGGGCCCAAAGGACCTGGGCTGTGACTTGTGGATCTTTGAAAAAGGCCAAAACTGGACCATCTGCAAGTCTCCGGTTAAAGGGGAGGTCACAAAAGGTCCAACAAAAAGGCCCCTAGAGCCGCCATGACCCACAATCTAGAATCTTGTAGTTCGAGCTTCTGACTAGGATTCTTTGCCGCCGAAGACTCCCACATCGAGCTGCCCCCAAAAGTCTTAGGCCCAGTTGCCCAGTGACCCCAGTAAAAAGGGGCCATTTGGCTAAACCATGTTCATTTAGCATAAAAGACACATAAAAACACCAAGCGAAAAGGCAAAACGGGGTGACATCTTCCGACTTACAACCCTCATCATGGAGCAACCAAAAAATGCAAATGAGAACCCAAAAAAAAAACATGAAAAACTAAGACGGCCCCCATGCCCGAACCAACAAAACATGCTGGAGCCAACTCACCCTCACTACAGGACCGCCTCCAGCGTGGCAGGCGCCCGCAAGGCGTTGCCCACATCCTGCGCAGGCATGACCCTTGGATGAATTCCACCGGTATATCATGAAACCTTGGCAACTAAACTGTAATACTACAATTTTTGGTAACATATATATATACATATGTGCACAAATAAATGAAAACATATATATATATATATATATACACATACTTACATATATGTCAACATATGTCAACCAAAGATCGGGGAAATGTTCTAACAAAGCAATCAGAAAGAACACGTGCTGCAAACCACCGTATCGCCGAGTCTTCCTGAGCAAGACTGTGCCACAATGTTCAGCCAAACTATCCAAATGGGCCGCCAAAAATGAGTGTACCCCTGCTTGACTAATCGGAGGGGTCCCATTTTAGCCAAGAACGTTCACTTTTGAGGGGAAATGTTCTATTAATCTACGGAGTCAACTTTAAAGAAGACCAAAAGGACATGTACCCGGCCCAGTGGATGAAATTGGGAAGCACGGGAATGTGAAAAGGTGTGTGAGCGTGTGTGCGTGTTTCTTTGAGGCTCGGTGGCCTGTTCAGTTTGGTTGGGAAACCAAACGGACAATGACTGTTTTATGGGTCACGATTTTGCCACATACATATACTTGCCCGGGATGAGCACGTGCTTCATGATGTGGAAGGCACAATTTGCGCACATTCAAAGCGAAGCAAGTGAGTCAGCCAGGCCGATTCGTGTTTGGAAATCGTCTCAAGACAGGGATTCTGGACCCCCCAAAATAGCATCGGTTTTCTTTTGGTGTCCCTTCAAGAGCTGACAAGGGTATCTTTCGCCTCAAAAAACGCGCCAAGCCCCTTTGAACCACATCATGGTGCAGTCCAGATCCAGCGCTGTCCCTTTTTTGAGGGGTCAGCGTGGAGAAACCAACCACACAACCGCAGGGTGATTCTTGTTGGTCCGACCACCTGAACTTCCGCCCCTAGGCGAGCCAGGCGCTCCTGCGGCGCAGATGCCGCGCTTCTCTCCGGTGCCCCCAGCAGCGCCGCGGTTCCGCGCAGCGGCGGCTCGAAGCGAGGCGCTTGGGCGGCCGAGGCCCGCGCAAAGCTGGCGGGGTCCTGCGGGAGACCTTCGAATCTCCGGCAAGTATGGTTCTTGCTTTGAGGGTAACCTGTTCTGGGATTCAGGGTGAAGGGAAAAGGAAAACCACCATGCAAACATTTACCAATTGTATATAGTACAGCTGCCAGTTGACAATGGGGCTTTTTGGGGACCCTGCCACCCGCTAAACACAGCCTAAGCCTAAACACACCTCAAACTGAAACACCCGCTCCACTTTTAAACGTTTTTTGTTCTGGGCGTGGGCCCCTATGGAAAACCTAGCTGAGTATGTTTCCTACAGAAAGCCGAACCGGCTTTTCAAATCGAGGCTCGGCCAATCCGATTTTCGTCAGCGGATTTGCTTCTAAAGTACTCGGGCAATGAGATCTGAACTGAACAAAGGAGCCCCCGTGCGGAAACCAAAGGATCCAGGATCCCTTCCAGCTTGTTTCGAGGCTACTTAGGTTACTCTCATTGTTCGGAACCGTTTTGTTAGAATCCCAGACCCGTGCCCAGGGCCAAGGCATCTGTGGTAGTTGATTTTCAAGGGAACCCCCTGCCAAAAACCAGCGTAAAGGGGCACCACCGGAGGAACCTGTTCAGCGGGTTCCTGAATGATGCAAGGGGTAACACGACTCCCAATAGTCAACTCACACGACTAAATATGTTCAGCTTTTTTTTGGTTCCCCTCAAAGTACCGCAAGCACCCCATACCCTCTCCTGCGCATTGGCCTCCGCCAGCCGCGCCAAGAAGGCGGAGCCGGACATTTCAGGCGGCGGCCGCTTGTCCGCCCGGAGCTTAGCTGGCGCCCGCATGGCGTTGGACGGCTCCTGGAGCTTGGGCTCGCACCTGAAGCAGCGCAGGGTTCTTATTGCGTTCCTCCTTTTTCACCCAAAAGGAAATGGACGTTCAAAGTGATTGTCAATACCTCAAAAGCGGGAAACTTGGGAACCCCTGCATTAGCGACCAAGTGCTACTGAGCAGACTAAAACACGGAACCCATGAAAACATGTTTTGAACAGGAATCGTGGGTGGGGGGGAGGGTTGGGGTCCATGCTATTTTGCAGGGGAGTAACTTGGAGTTTGCCTGTTTAGTTCAAAAGCTATTTGTCGAGAACGCCAAAAAAACGGAGTTAAGGGAAGCTCATTCAAGCGTGGCAACTGTTGGAAGCTTTAGCAGTCGAAATCTAGCTTGCTTTGGGATCCAAGCAAGGCTTCCCTTACATAAGCCGTCCTGGGAGGCTCTGGTGAGTGTTGAAGGCTGGCGCGCAACAAATCACAACGATCTAAAAAAAGGTTTGAGACCCCCTACACATCAGCTGGTCAAAGCGACTTTTGGACTAGCCCAGATGTAACCTTTTTCTTTTTCGTGGACCCCGCAACAAATTGCCCAGTTTGACATTGGATTGTTATAGCGCCTACAGATCCACAAATGGGCAACTCATATACGTTGCTGTTGGCTGTAATTCTAAAGAAACGCTGCAAAGAAAAACTCTCCAGGAAGTCAGCCCAAACTCCTGGTGTTTGTGCGCATTTGGATAAGCTCTTGAATAATTTCTAGGGGATGGTTCTATCGAATCCACTGAACAACTGGGTCTTTGCTTTGTGTCAAGCAGCGCAAAGCTCTTCTGTGCGCAAGCTGCGCACGTCTCGCCCACCACGAGCTCCGATGAAAGCAGCAGCGCGGCGAGAGCCCGCAGTGTGTTGCTGGCGTCCTGCGGCTGCGGAACGGAACCATGCATTTCTTGGCCCACGTCTGGGCTACGCAACACATGACAAAAAATAACGTTCGGATTCCGGTCCATAGTAGATTACCCTGAAATGCATTGTATAATAAAGTATAAACTAAGTTTGGAGGAGACCATCTGTTTGCTACCAGTTTCATTCTGGGGTTGTGCAGCCGCTAAGGGGTTCAAGGAGGGATAACCTAGGCTTCCCATGGGCTCCTATATTCTTTAGCCGTCTAGAAGACTACAGCTGTAGCAAGACAAGCCACTGCAGCCTACTTGCGAAACCATTTTGGACCCTTCAGCGTCACCTTACTACGTGGGCAATCTCTGAGTCAGTATTGAACAAAGTAATTCCCCAAACAGCTCTTCTTAAGGAAATGCACTTTCTGCAGAATCCAACCCCGGTGTTGTTTCTACTTTTTGTCACTCTGGAAATCAAAACTACATGGTTCCAACTTGACATCATCATTGTTCTAATTGTGATTTCCAAAGAAGCCCCCATGTCCCATGGGCCCCCTTGCCCCCGCAATGACGGGGTGACCCAATTTCAGTCCCCCAGTCTTCCCACCAAAGGGATGAACATATGAATGCAATTGCACGGGTCACTCGAAGCTTGGAAAAAACGAGCCCAAGGAGTAACTCCAACATAAACCACAATTATTCCCCTGGAACCTTCCGAAGCCTGCCCAATTCGAATCCTCCGATTTTTAACACCATGGTCAAAGTAGATGCCACAATTTCCACTAGGTGAGAATAAGCAAATGGGACGACTAAAGCAATATGAGGAAAATGCGCCATCAACAACTTTCGCCCGACTGCAGGGGGGGGCCCCTGTTTGCAACCATGTCCTGCGGTGTGTGCTCACCCATCCGCTGCACCTGCAGCAGGGATAAAAGCCGCGTGTCCTCCCGCTTCATCTTTGCGACCGCCCGAACCTTTGGACGTCGCGTGCTTTGGCTTCACCATGATCCTACAAGTGCATTACAAGTAAACCAACCAACAAAACCTCACACTACGGACAATTACAGGGCTTCCTTGTTCCCTTACTTGGTGGCCTGGCTTGGTGGAGGTGTTCCGTGGGTTTCCTGTTTTCCATCAAGAACCAGGGGCTCAAATCCAAATCCAAACCAATCTAAACTAATCTAAACCAATGCAAGCCAGGGTTGCCTGAGCCACGAACCCCCTTGACAAATAACTTTAAGGCGTGCCTCCCAACACACCCAAAGCACAAGTTACAAGATTCTTTGTTCATGTAAGTAAAGGAGAGGCTAAACCCACTCACCCAACTGTAGGGTGACTTGATCCTTGGCTATTTTGCACCCAGAAAACAACGGGAACTATGAAACCCTGACTGAAAGAGGTCCAGGCGCCAGGTTGGTTGCATTCCGCACCTCAGGCGAGGCTTGGGCGATCCAACTGAGTTAAACATGTTTAAGCATGGTTCAGCCACGTGCCAAAATAGAGATCTGGACCACAAACATGATGGCTTTCCTGTTGGTTTCCCTTTGCACAAACCCGAAAAAGGTGCTTGCAAAAAAAAACAAACACACTTGAACTCCAGATGGAGAGTGCTAATCTTTCGAGTACAACTGATGAGTCTCGAGTACAACCGACAAGTCTCGAGTATGATGAGTTTCGGCTCGCAATGCACTCGGCTTCCCTCTAGTGTCGAAAACGTTACCCGAAAGAACAAGAAGCACAAACAGCGCCGCAACCAAGGGGCCAAAAGGACTTTCAGAATCACTGAAGCAGGTACAGGTGTCCACGTCTGGACACCCTTCCCACCTTTGGCAACAGCTTCATTGCGTGCAGTATGCCAAAGGTGCTGCACGCCCCTGCTGCGAAACCGAAAGGGTGGTGACAGGGCATTCTGTCACTCCGCACACACACGCCCCTCTACGAGGGGCGAGAACCACTTTTTCGGGGGGAGAAAAACCACGCGCCCCAAAACCGGGCGAAGACCCCAACAGAAAACAAACGGAGCAAGGGAGCCCAAAAGAAACAGAAAGGCCCCAGGTTGGGTCTCCGCGGGCAAAACCCCAAACAAGAAACAAGAACAACGGGGAAGCCAGGTTTCGGGTCTCCGAGGGCAACAACCCCAACCAGCACAAAAACGACCTAGACCTTGTAGACGAAAGGGGCCGCGAAGGCAAAGAGGCAGAAGAGGAGCAGGCCATCCCTAACCGGGCGATCAGGAAGTACAAGAAATAGCCCAGAGAGGGAAAGAAAAAGAAAGGGAAGAAAGAAAGGGACGAAAGAGAGAAAGAAAGAGAGAGAGAGAGACAGACACAGAAAAAGAGAGAGAAAGAGAGAGAGAGACACAGAAGCGTATTTAGGGCGTCGCAACCGCCCGGGGGAAAAAAGAAAGGATCAGGGTGCGTATTTAGGGCGCCGCATCCCGCCCGGGAAGAAGGAACAAGAAGCAAAAGGCAAGGAGACAAAAAGGAAAAAAGAAAGAAGAAGGAAGAAAGAAGAGGAAGAAGGAAGGAGTAGTATGCGTTTTTAGGGCGACGCATCCCGCCCAGATAGGAACAGAGGATGAAGACCAAGGCTCGCGGAGAAAGACGTCGGATCCCGCACAGGGGCCAAGAGGACGGACCCGAAGTAGCAACGGAAGGGGAAGAAGACGTCAAGCCAAACTACGTGAGGAAGAAGAGGAGTAGGAACAGGAAGACAGACGCGAAGACGAAGACGAGGAAAAAGGTGAACAACGCGAGGACAACCAGGCCATCCCTAAGCGGGCGAACAGGAGCGGGACGAACGCGCGGGTCACGAAAGGCAGCAAAAAGAGAACGGGAGGAAGGAGAAGCCATCCCTAAACGGGCGAAGGACCAGAAGACGGGCACGCGGAAGAAGAAGGCGAGAAGAAGGGGAGACGTAGGGTGAGACGTCACTATGGTCTGATGGCTTTCTTCCCCATAGTGAAACCTCGTTCCTGGTTAAATGTGAAATTCCGCTGTTCTATGATCAGCACGCTGAGGTCAAATTTTCCGACAGAGCCGGCCCGGGGTCACACAATGGGTACACCCGAGGATTCCCCACGAATGGGGTGTACACACTTGAACTCCAGATGGAGAGTGCTAATCTTTCGAGTACAACTGATGAGTCTCGAGTACAACCGACAAGTCTCGAGTATGATGAGTTTCGGCTCGCAATGTATTCGGCTTCCCTCTAGTGTCGAAAACGTTACCAGAAAGAACAAGAAGCACAAACAGCGCCGCAACCAAGGGGCCAAAAGGACTTTCAGAATCACTGAAGCAGGTACAGGTGTCCACGTCTGGACACCCTTCCCACCTTTGGCAACAGCTTCATTGCGTGCAGTATGCCAAAGGTGCTGCACGCCCCTGCTGCGAAACCGAAAGGGTGGTGACAGGGCATTCTGTCACTCCGCACACACACACACACACACACACACACACACATTTGAACAACATCAGGTTCGTTGAACAACACCACCGCTTTGCCTTTCCTTTTCTAAGCTGACCTTGGGCTGCTGATTTACACACGCTGACCCCAAGCATGCAACAGCCAACCGCAGCCTTATTAGATACACATGTATGCCAGCCTGTCTCTCTCCTCTTTGCTGGCGAGTAACGCCATGTTTGGTTTCCCTCGAAATGGCCAGCCGGATTGGTTGTTTCTCACAGTAGGCTCCCTGAAAGTGAGTGGTGCCTTTCGCTTCTCCCTTCGAGTTTGGAAACACCATGGAACACCATTTCTGCAATCCCTCCCCCCCCCCCCCCCGCACCACTGGGATACTCCAAAAATAATTTCAGATTCTGCTTCATTTTAGCCTACCTAAAAAAAACAAAAACAACAACAAGTAGCTTGCAAGGAGACCCCCCACCTCCAGCTCCTTCTGCAGCGCCATCTCCACCAACGCCTCCATCGAATTCGCGCCGCGAAGCGCGAAGACGCCGAAGCCTCGCGCCGCGGTGGAGACGTCCTGCGCGGAGAAGTCGGCGGCGCAAGTGGCCAGCAGCTCCCTGGCGAGGCGGTTGTTTGAAATCAGGAGACGCTCGTTAAGAATAATTAACACAAGAAAGTCCATAAGAAGAATTGAAAACCATAAGCAGCCAGCTGTTGTTCTTGTTTGCTGGCTTGGGCTCTCTCCAGCCTGCCAAGGGAGAGAAAGCACGGGCTTGCGTTTTGCAACCTTTGAGCCCACATGCCTGCAATGGCCATTGGGAAAAGGGTACTCTTTTCCTGGAAGCATGCGAAGAGTGCTTCTTCTAGGAGCGGCTGCGAACCACTCTTGCCAACTTTTCGGGCGTTACTTGTGCCGCATATTTGGGAACCGCACCTGATTGAAATATTGTCGGCTTCTCTTGTTTTCTGCCGGCTTCTGTCATAATACGATCTGTTCCCATACGATCTGTTCACCTACGATCTGCTCCCCATCATGATTCTAATGATAAATCACCACTAAAAACCACAAGCTAACATTAGTGTCCGAAATACACAGCAAAAAGACGCCAAGAGACTTTTCGGACGTTTAGCCAACAACAGTATCCTAAAAACACAAGCAACATACGAGGTCACTGTTCCCAAAACACAAGCAAACTCTTCTTTCCCACCTTCTCTTCCCGAGCCTAGATTATTCTTCTTTTCTGCGCCGGGTAAATAGGCCTGATGGGAGCTATCGAAACTACGGAGATTGCGCGCTGTGTCTTTTAGGAGACACATGTCCATTTAATGGCTAGGCTAGAAACGGTCCCACCCTGAATTTGGGTAAACCATGGTAAACAACCAATATGGGCTGCTGTATATAGCACCAGGCTGGTTGTTCACATCAATCTTAAGGCAACCCTGCCATTCTCGTTTGCCCCGCCTGCCCCGCGCCGCGGTGGCTTCCAGCAGCTGCTCGCCCCGAAGATGCGCCGCCGCGGACCTCCGCGCGGCGTTGGCCGCGTGCCGCGCCGCGAGCTGCTGCAGCGTGGCCAACGTGCGGCGGGCGGGCGCAAACAGCAGCGAAGGGCTGGGAGAGGTCGATTTGGCCTCCAGCCCACTTTCTTTGAGTACTACAAAGTGCCCAATGGTTCGCCATTTGAGGACCATCCACTTGCCGGGTGGCTAACTCACCGAGGTGTGTCGGTTCAGCGGCTGATGAGGTTTACTGCCCTTCGTTTCCAGTCACCATCCAGCGAAAAACAGCATCAAATTGACGTCAAAGTGCAAATGCGTTGCTTAGAAAACAATGTGGACGGACTATTTTTTGTTTAAACTCTCCTGCGAGACGTAAACTGTTGCTGGTTGGGAGGGGGTATGAAGGAAAACTGAAGGCAGCAGTCCCAAAGGTAAGCAGTTTGTCTAGCAATGCAGTTTCTATAGAGCTGTCCCCCATCCCGAACAAACAATCGAATACCACCGTACTCCTGGAATTCCTACTTCCTAGAATTGCGGCATTTATGGCGTATCGGGAAGTTTGTAACCGTAGGGTGACTTCCACGCCAGGCCGCGGCCGCCCGCGCCAGGCTGGCCGCGTTCTGCGGCGAAGGTTCCGCGACTTTTCGCGCGGCGACGCCCGCCGGGGCGGCCGTGGAAGTCTCGTTCTTGGGCGACACGGCGCCAAAGGCCCGAGCGCCATTGGCCAGGCCCTGGACGCATAGACTGCCATGAAAGCAAAATGCTCAAAATCACCCCCTTTCGGATCATGGTATCTTCAACCCTCTGAAACTTGCTTAAGCCCCACAACCCGGCTTTTTTCCGGTTTCCCTTATAAGGTCACCGCCCCCCACTCCGTTTTGGGCTCGCAGCCGCCAATCCGCCTGGCCATTGGACGCCTCCAACTTCTCCGCCAGCGCCGCGTCGGCTGGGGCCGCGAGGTCCGGCGCCAACTTGGCGCCGGCCCGCAGCACGTTGGCGGCGTGCTGCGCGGTGAGCTGCGAGGACAAAGTCGCAGCCTGGCCTGGAGGCGAGAGGGGAGGTGTCTGGGTGTCTCATGCAGGGGGGATAAACATGTTCCTGAACTTGGGAGAGCACGCATGCTAAAAGGAGGTAAGCTTTTTTGCTTGGCCAATGTTCAAGCCCAAGCCTAAGATTGACTTCTGCTTCTACCGACAGCAAATTTTACTCGGATCGAGCAAACCAATAGAATCCCCACCAGATAAGTCCAACTCCGCAAAAACGTGAGCTTCCCACCCCTGATTGGCATGGTCCTCCGGATTCATCAAGTTTGGTTTAACCACCTCTGTGTGATAATTGCTAGATGTGCTGGGCTTTGAAACTTTGGGCCTGCGAATTAGAATGCGTTTCCAGGAGTCTTTCGAGAGGGCCTCCATGTGCATTGCTGGTTGTCCGTTTTGGACAACTGGCCACTATACGGATGCCAACTCAATATTGCAAGTGTGCAAACCGCACGAAAAGAAACAGTAGTAACATACTGAGAATCCAAGAATCGGATTCCTTCCCTCACTTGCAAAGTTTAGGAATTCAGCTTGCAATTTTCTGCGTCAGACATTTAGGGGGATCTTTGACTTTTGGGTCAGACCCCCTGTGAACCCTCGAGGCTGACCTCGTGCCCTCCCCGCCGAGTTCCGCTGCGCGCGCCTGCCGGGCACTGCAGCACTGGCTCCTCCTTCAGCCGCAGCACCGCAGAGGTCCGGGCTGAATTGGCCACGCCCTGCGGCCCACACTCGGTGCAGACGTGCTCGAAGCAGGAGAAGGCGGCCAACAGGCGCTGGCCATCCTGCGGACGGGCCAGACGGATCCCACAAAGCACGTGCGAGTCAGCACCCATATGATTGGTAGCGAATCCCGACTACTGTTAAATTCGGAATGAATCCGAAGGACCATGCCACCAAAAGGGGGTCCTCGATTGATTTAGTGTGGCCCGGCTCGTTACAATCCGAAGTTGACTTTCCCCAAAAATCCAAAGGAAAGCATACAGTGCCAGTCTCAAGTACCTCAATTCGTTGCAATCACCCGCCTTCGATCTCGAGTTTAATCCGAAGCTGACATGAACAATTGCCAACCCCCTGGAGGACGCGAATTGTTTACTGTCAGTCAGAATCACAACTTGGAAGCCATGTAATGAATTAAACAGGCAGTCGCTGCGTAAAAACAATTAATAAATGGACAATTAACACAACTACTTTCGTAAGACCATGGAAGTTCTGCTCACCAAGTTTGATTGTCTCAGTTGTGGCTCATTTGGCCAGGTCGCCCTGAGCAAGTTCGCAGCCGCCCGCGCACTGCTGGCCAGTCCCAGCGCAGAAAAATCTGGCAGCTTCCTGGGCGGGCGATGCTTGCGGAAGACAAGAGACCAGAAAATGTGTAACATTTCTTTTGAGGGTGGCTGGACTTTGCGTGGTTCGACAGGAAACCAAAGGGAAACCTACCGTTTTGAGGAGTGAGTCACTCAGTCCCAAAGAAGCCGCACCCACATTCACAATGTTGATGGACAAAATTCTGCACCAGGCATCTTAGCCCTTCCTTGGGTCTCCCTTCATTTCCCCTGTGGTTGTTACACATTTCTCGGGGACGGTGAGCCAGTGAGCCCTGCCCTCTCTTGGCACCGGCCGAGTCTCGCCACCAGCACCGCGTCCGGCACGCCCAGCACCGGCGCGCCCTTTGCCGCGAGACGGGCAGAAGCCCAGCCTGCGCCAAGGGGGGGGGGCACGAGAAGGGTTTCTCAAAGTAGTCCTCCAAAATGGGAATGCTTTTGAACCTCAACTACCAACACTCGGGAGCCCTGGTTTGCGTTCAAACTAAAATGGGATCTCAAAATGGCGAGCTCCAAGCTCAACGTTGGCTTTGATAGGACAACTCTGAAGGCAGGGCCACCGCGGCAGGAAGGAGTTCTGTTCGGCTTCCCCTCCCCCCCCTCCCCCAAACAGCGCACTCAACAGCAGTGCTAGTTAAAATGGAACAGATGGTTCGGTAACAGGCTTTCAGGGGAAAGCTAAACAAAACCACAATGGTCAACACAAGGGTCTCAAAATTGGGGACCCAATACTTGTTGGTTTCCCAGTTGTTCGCTTTAACCCTACCCCTCCGCAATAAGGGCCTTGTAGACAAGTTGGTCTGACAGGGCAGCATTGTGGCATCCTTGGTGCAAGAACAGGGGTGAAACCTTGAGAATCTACGACTCTGTTCGGTTCACCGGGGCACCGTCCCGCTCAAGCCTGGGCGTAAAGGCGTTCTGAGTGGCTTTGCCTGGGCGCTTCCGCCTCAACCATCGGCGTGTGCGAAAGCGTCCAGGCGCGCGCGGCCCGCCTGCGTTGGCCAAGCCCTGGGGCTCGAGCTAAGGCAGGCGGGCGGCCGCCTGCTGCAGCAGCGCAGCGAGGAAACGTCCATGCGCCTGGTAGGAGGACAACTCCAGATTGCCGGGAAAATGGATTCTCTAGTTCACCGGGATTGACTATGTCTTTGTGCTTCAGTATGGCTGCTCTGCTTGCGATATTGAGATGGCGTCCACCATAGTGGGGAAGGAAGTGGGGGGAAAGGTCCCAAGTTTCATGGGCCCTGCCTTCTCTACAAACGAAACGAGCCACCACTGCTTGACCCGGAAATTGCGTGACGCCAAATCAGAGCAATGGCGTGGCGCCGTTTGGAATGGGGACCCTGGTTCCTACCCCAAACTGTTGCCCTCCGCTTTGTGGGCCCATCCCATAAACTTGAGGTCCACCTCCCTTCAACAAATGAGCTCCAAAGCTCCAGACGGCCCCCTTGGTGAAGCAAGTAGCGCGATGATAGGGGGTCTGGCATTGCGGCTTCCCCCGCGGCTTTCGTCCAGCACCGTTCGCTAGTGGCAATTGCCCCAAGCGGAAAAAACAAAAACAAAAACAGTTGATTGCGGGTTGGCCGCGGGCAAACTCCAAAGGGAAAAATAGAAAGTTCCAGCCACTAGCAGTACACGTTTTGGATTGCACTATTTGTTTGTTTGTCGCTTTCACTCTGGCTTGGGGACTTGCATGTCATCCAGTCCCCAGCACATGGCCTCATGGTCATCCGGCGCCTAGCGCGCCATCACCGCAAGCGGTCGGAGCTCACATGGCGGTCCCCACGCGCCAAAAGCCGCGCCGCGAGCCGCGTCGCGGGGCTTGGGCCGAGTTCGCTGCCGGGAGGGCGTGCCGGTGACAAAAGGCAAATGCATGTGGGAGAACTGCACGTGTATGTGCCCCACAAGAAACCAGGAAAGTATGCTCACCAAGCATCCAGGGAGAAATAAACCCTCCCGGTATTGACAAGGTCGTTTGTTTTTCGCCTGCGCCCATAGGCCAATTGCACTGTTACGTGAAAAATGCACGCCGTGCAGAGCGGAAGCCGACGGCCGGGGTGCTTATATGTACAACAGTTGCTTTACCAGGCCAATATATATATATATATATGTGTGTGTGTGCACAGACCCGGAAACTCAGTCCAGCCACCAATTTCAATCGTTTTGTGCGTTCAGCAGGAAATTCCCCCGCAAGAAGAAAAATCGGCGTCAGCTCTAAAAGAGCTGGCTGCAAAAAACAGCCGTGGAGTCTGGTCAAGCGCACAAAAACTGGACAAGCCCTTGCTCCCACAATGCAGATCAATGGGGGAACTTGCTGCTCGATTCGCTCAGAACACTGTTGAAAATTATGAAGATGGGCACGGGGACCGCAGCCCATACAGAGAACAAGCTGTAGGCCAGACATGCGCAGATTTGTGCCTCAGTAGCCGGGCTTTGACACTGTCATTGCCCGCTACTAAGCCAAATGCACCATGATTTGCTTCGCGCAGTTGCACAAACAACGCAATTTCGCAGGTAAACAGCACGGGTTCAAAGCAGGTTTCCGCCGCAACTTCGGGTGCTCCGCCGTGGACCGAAACGCCAACAAAACACAAACCTGGCCATTCAACCGCGTATGCCCGCGAAAACAGCTTGCAGTTGGCGCAGACAGCTCCTTTGAAGCCAGAAGCAGCGGAGCAAAGAACACACGTGTCAAACAAACAAAAAGCAGGCACACGCACTGCATCAGACTGCATCATACCCTGATCCAAGCAGATTAGCGGCAGTCATGCGCAGGCAATGCGGTGGCTGCAAGTTGCAAAAGGCGGCTTTGTTTGTTGCGCATTTCATAAAGAAATAGGACACAAGGCAGTTTTGCGCAATCAACGCTTGCTTGGTGCACGCTCATGGGGGCAAAGCCAAGGTTGTGGCAGCAAAAGAAAGAAGCCAAGAACGAAATTTACAAAAGAAATAACAGCAGAAAAAAGAAGAAGAAAAACAATAACAAAAGACATAAATAAATAAGAATATCACATAATAACGACAGAAACAAACAACGACAGGCAGACAGGAAGACACATGTAAATCGGCAAGTAGCGGCCTGCACCATGCTCGGCTCATCCGTGATGAGGTCCCGCCTCAGACCCACTTGGTGGCAGATTGGTTTCCCTAAAAGGGTGGCCTTCGGGCAACCTCGTGGGAGAGCTTCCCAAGCTGGAGGCCCAGGTTTTTTACTTTTTCCCGGACAGCAGTCCAAAACAGAGCACCCTGCAAGAGGGTGCCCAAAACAGTCCATCCAACTTCATTTTTCTGGGGCACCCTGGTCCACTGGCAAGGGCCATGCGGTTGGTTTACAGCTTAAAGCCAGCATTAACAAAGCTCGCCTCTTTGGTGAGGATGGCATATCGAGAGGAATTCCACGCTGGTGATACCCTAGCTATTTTTGGGTTTCCTTTGAGACCACCCCAAGGGACACTTGTTGTTTTTCCTTTCTCTCTCTCTCTCTATCTCTCTCTCTCTCTCTCTCTCTCTCTCTTCCTCGCTCTCTCGTGCTCCGCGTAGGGCCCGAACAAAGGACGCCGAAAGGTACACATGTTCAAGAAAAGCTTGCAAAGGAACAGCCTACAACACTACCATGGCATTCTCCAAAAACTGGAAGTTAACATGTCCCAAGAAATCAGGAACTTCATGGGTTTGAGCCCCCTCGATTTCTTCCAGGTTTTCTTCATTTCCCCTGGGCCTCTGGCTCCCTCAGCAAGCCGAGGCTGCTGAGCCCCTGCTGCTTAGCTTCCTTTACCGAGTCCGCGATGCCTGAGGAAACATCATCCTTTCTCGGCCCATGGTGGATGCCAACCCAAGACTTCAAGTGTGGGAACCAGGAAACCAATTCCCTCATTTCGGCTGTGGTTTTTGGTGGGCACCCTACCTTTTTTTGAAAAACGTAATTCTATGACAAACTGTCGTTTTCCATAATTCTGTGGCGTGTGGTTGGTTTACTCGAGGCCGTGTACACCGCGGAAGCAGAACCCCTGGTTGCTGCTTTTTGGGTTGTCCACTGTTGCAGATGACGGCCCCTGCTAATAGGGTTGGTTTATGAATTAGGGTTCCCAATAGGCTCTACACCCATGATTTGTCGTTTAAATGGCACCCGTGTATTCAAACCCGTCCAAGGTCTTGGTTTGACGTTGAAAGCAAATTAGAGCGGAACCTTGCGGATTCTTGGCGGGTGCTCTTCTCCGAGCAAAAGCTAACCTTCAGTAGGATTGAATTGAAATGCGGTGTGATTCACAAACAAGTCTAAGTCTAAGAGTCTAAGGTGCAAATCGGTCACACCAAAGACCAACCATAAGTTTGATTCGGGCGTTCCGCGTTTATTCCAAGCTGACCAGTGGAAATCCGCCAGCTACAAACGGCGTGTTGGACACAAGAAATTGAGTTTCCCTGCAAACACCTACGATAAAAGCAGGTCCCACAAAAACCGATTCCACTTGGTCATCGACGGGCTGCTTGGTTTCCATGTCCCACCTGCTGAGTGGATTGGCCAAGCAAACTGGTCTCCTTGGTTTTTGACCATGGCACGAATGAGCCGGCCCGAAACACAAGTTGACTGCAAAGCCCTACAGCCCTCCTGCAAAAACTGCAAACATTACCAACAGAAATAGGGAAGTGCCAAGAGTTTGGTCAGAGTGAGAGAAGGCATAAGAAAGACATGATGTAAGATGAAGATGGTTCTTTTCATTTCCCACCAAGACTTCCCACCAAAAACCAATTCCGAGACTTTGTCATCACGACAAGGAACTAGAGAATTGGAGGAAGACCCATATTTTTTCCTAACCCTTCCTCATCTTCACTCACTTACACACTGTCACTTGACCTTTCTCTTTCCATCTCTCTCAGCCGTTGCCCGTGGAAACCTTATGAATCGGATATAACGATGGACCCAAGTGTGGCAGGTAGCTAAAGAGAAGCTAAAGGGAAACCATCAAATTTGGGGACCACAAGTGAGACACATCCAAATATTCTATGTGGTAAGCCCCCCCTTTACCCCCCCTTCCACGCATCAGGCTGGACTTTGACGATACCTCTTGCGAAGTGCTCGGGGGGAGACTGTCAGTAATCTGGCCCGGAGCGTTTCAAGAGCTTAAGCAGACGACAACACTGACTCAAGCGCGTCTTCAGCTTCGCGAAAAGGGCATTTGGGTGTCCTTCTGCACGCCTCGGTTCGCCGCTTCGCCCTGTGCGCCTTCCCCTCGTGTGCGGTCGAACTTCAGCTTCCGAAGCAAAGGCTCCGCTTCGACCACCTGCGAAGGACCAGTGACAAAGGAACAGGAAAGCTCCAAATGGAAGCGTGACAGGGTTCCTGCAAATAGGCCATATAAAGTTATGTTTTTTGGCGAACTAATGATTATAATGATTTCAATTGGTGTACTTCTTCAGATTTTTGTTGATCGCAAGGAGCTCTGACCGAAGCATTCTTAGAACTCTTTCCGGGCAACGTTCTCCCCTTGGGCTAGTGGTTGGGGGTGCTGGAAACTAGCTTAGAACCAAGAAGCTTTAAAAACGCACCTTCAACTGCCACGTGAAACGCGAACAAACCAACTATGCCCAGAGCCCGAGACATGCTCTGAGCCGACCCTAGCAACAGACCCAGCTACGAAAACCGCAGGGAGCGACAGCTACGCAACCGCAGCCTGCGGGGGTCTAGGACTCTAATCGCACGCTTTTTGTCTGGGAGAGCTGCCTCCGCAAAAAAACCACCAGCGCTCAAGCCGAAACGATATATAAATCCCGTAGTTCAAGCAGCCCCTTGCTTTTCCCGAAGTCAAAAAATATATTTCCAACTTCATGAGGCGAAGAGCTCAGGATATTCATGAGCTAAGCACGCCATTCAAACATGTTCAGACAAAACCAAGGCCCGCACAAGCCGTCAATCAATTGACACTCCTTTTGCCCAAGGCAACAACGGGCTCTATCTTTTCGGGAAGCTCACATTTCGGCAAAGGTCACGCAATGAATGGGATGCATTGGGATGCATTAAACCAACTTGGAAACAAACGACAGAGTCTTCCCCCCCCCAAAAAAAACGGCCAGTCAAAACAAGCTCAAACAACACCTTCACGGCGTGCAATTTATACCACTGAAAGTAGGTCACTCAAACCAGAGAGAAAGCAAATTGCATTTTTCCGCTTTGTTCAAACTGCATGGGGTTCAAAACCACCGGCCGCAAATCCAAGTCACGAATCAACAAAAATAACCAGACCAAAACTTATTGTTGGACGGAAACCGAATCCCTGACCATTTGCCACCTTGGATTTAAGCCTTCGGGTCGTCAAAAGGAAGTCTGAGCCGGACTCGTCACGTTTCACGACCTCCAATGCCGGAGACCTGAGCAATCCTTCCCCAAAGTCACGCCGAGAATCTCTGTGACCAGGGGTTGGCTGTGTTTTCCTCTTTTTGCCGAATGGCGTAGGGAACATGCCCAACGGTCAGCAACCCAACCTCCTCTTCTTCACCTTCTTCTTCCTCCTCTTCTTCCTCCTCTTCCGCCTCCACCGTGTCTGCCTGGGCAGATTTTTGAGGGCCACGGCCATGGCTTCCTGATACATTCTATAAAAAAAGGCGAACACCCCAAGAACGGCATTGCTCAAAACCGACACCAGTTAAGAGTTCGATGCTGTAGCTTGAGCAATCCAACCACCACCAGAAACAACACTTTGACAACTCCAACCGCTGGTTTTCACCAAGTACGAAG